CGCATCTCTTGGTGCCCATAATGTACCAAGTGTATGTTTTTGGCGATAATAATAAGCTCCGAAAAGAGGATCAGCTGAAACCACTCGAATTCGTGCTAGCAAGCATTACTGGTTGATGTGAATAGTACCCGCCTGCGCATATCAATCATTCAAAGCTATACATAGTATACGGCTTTTTCCTGAGATTACTCTTCATAAAAACTACCTACACAGATTTAAGCAATTTTGCCTAGCTGCGAATTAAGGTATAGTTCTATTTTTAAAAGCAGTAATAGCTTTATTCTAAACAATGTTTATATAATCTATAGGATTTTCAGAAGAGTTTGTTACATGATGTCATAACTGTTTTAATTGCTATTATCGTTATTAAATATTGTTTTTATTGTTCTGTTTTATTATTATTTTATTCTGTTCAGCACAGCTATTATTATTATTTCCTTTAGTTCCTAGAGGAACAAAGGGCTTCAGCCTCACGTCTCCATTGCGTCTGGTTCTCTGCCAACGTTTTCGCTAGGCTCCACATCTGCCCACATCCTTCCATCCCCTCTCCACATCACCTCCTATATATCACTCTCGCACTGACCACCAGCTCACCGCTTCCCATTTGGTCGGATTCCACTCGAGCAATGGCTTGGTGTCTGATGTCACTTACTTGATGGTTTGTTTTCTCAGAGTATGGCCAATCCACCTCCATTTCTTCCTACACATTTGTTGCACAATCTGTTCCTGGTTGGTTCGCTGGTTCATTGCCGGAGATACCTGTTGCTAATGTTTTCTGGCCGGCCATCTAATCTTGAGTAGTATTGAGTGAAGACAGTTAGCTGTTGATGAAGGTCTGTAGTTTGTTTGAGGTGTTTTTCATGGCTCGCCAAGTGTTTGATCCATAAAGTAGCAATGACTTCACTCAGCGCAGCTAGCTGTAACTTATTTATGATTCTATTAATTTAAATCCAATTGCAATGTCTATCTCTTTGAATGACCTCAAATCCATCTTGCAGCAGCAGCAAGTTCAAAATGAATCAGTTCAACTAGAATTAATCGAAGGTCTTACTCAGAAGCTGTCCATTCAAGTTTCCTCAACATCTCATTCAGATAAATATGAGAGCATCTCAAATTCTGTCATTGGTTTCAACAATAGTCCAATATCTGGTCTTGTATTTGATGCATGGTTTTTCCTTATTGAATGCTCCATGTTTGATGATGCTGCTTAAGTTGGATCATTATCCCAAAAGCCTGGTACTGTCGAGCAAAATATATATGTTAATTTCATTTTGCCAAAGAACCCACGTGAATTATCCTTCGATGAAACTAACACCGTTTTATCCCATCCCCTTTGTTATGCCTGCTCCTGCTGATTGGCAGTAAAGGTAATGAACTCGACTGATGCCCTAATATGCCTATTCGCCCGCTGTACCTTCCAATTCACTGAGCCACGCAAATATCGAAAGACAAAGTTTGGCCTGTGACTGTAAGATACTGTACTGTATTGTATATTTATTAGGAAAACGACACATGATATTTACACATTTTCTTTACAACAATAAGATCGGCTCACAGCGTGAGAAAAATTGTTCACACAAGTCAAAATATGCATGAGAAATAACTGATCGCATTATCAATGACAATATGCATGAGAAAGGATCTTCAAGTAAGTAAATAATGGACAATAGATCGTGTTGTGGTGAGAGCTGTCTGCTAGCCGAAATTTGGTAGATAGCGATATACGTCAATGTTTACGTCCCATATCTTGGTCATGAGAAAAAAACAAGAACAAAGACTAACTCAACAACCAATCACAGAAGACTTTGCGTGGGCGGATACGATTCACAGATATATATGGTTTGACCTTCAAAGAAACGGCCACAAAGAGATGAAAGAATAACTTTCAGCAGGAAAATAACCAATCAGAAGACGCTGTTCCTCTGCTAATAATAACTAATAATTATGTACATAAAAATATATAAATATCTCTTGATTTCCTCAATAAACGATCTGTTGCCTGGCCCTTGTCTTCTGTTGTTACAGTGTGACACAGTTTCATCTGACCTGAAGTGCAAACCAATCCATAATGACATTTCTTTTTCTGATACGAGAAATACACTGCATTTTGCTGAACGCCGATTATATAAAATATTCAGGAGTACATTTTGTGAACCAATGACACCACTCAGGATCGGTCATCTCATGTGTTTGTGTTAAGCTGTCATCGAGGAAAATGCTTTTTCACATGTTTATTAGGAATTTACGAATGAGCAGGTGTCTGAAATACTCACCAGAGTAAAAGGATACTATTAGAGGTCGTACTTTACCGTACTGAAACAAACTGAATAACAGAAATTATATGCAAAATATTTATGGAGCCTCGCGGCTTTATATGAGAAATGGTTAAGTAGAAGAGGTCACATATATCTAAGTCACAGGGTAACTTTTTTTCATCTTAAAGGCGCTTTTTTCGACAGCAATGAAAGACTACCTTACATTCTGAGCTTCTTCATTTGCATTTCATTAGCGAAGTATCGCAGTCTGGACAAATTATTCTGCTTTATCGATTTTCCGCATCACCCACCAGTTCGATTTACATGAACACTATGTCAGTTAATTAATTCCCTTCTGGGTTTCTCAAAAATAAACGTATATGAAGCAATGTAACACAATAGCACTTAACGTGATAGTTGAATCTAAACCTTCATTCAGTGCAGTGTGAATTATACAGTCTGCAAATAAGTTCTTATTTCTTTTCCTAAACCATTTTTCTGACAAGTATTTCAATTTTAAAGCGAATTAAAAGGATACACAAATAGATAGACATTAACATAACGGACACCATCATCAACTTGATATTGACAATCACGTGTTTTGTTTCCTCTTTCCTTCCAAGAGCTGCAACGGTCAGGAAAAACTAAAGTTGGACGAGATAAGTATCACTAGTCACATAGACTCTCTGGTACGACAGAGGGTGTTCTTCATAAGAGAAAATGGGCGAATGCGGATGTCTGTCGCCTACAATCGGACTGTTGGACATCCAGGTTTACCTAAGGGAGCTGCGATAGGCTGATTCCATACATATGGTGTACATTGGCTCCAGAATCCAAACAGACCAAGAGCGTAATCGTAGGGATGCAGTTCCACTGTGTATGTGAATCAGGCATCAAGCCAAAGCTTCCAGAGTTGATGGCTTTAGACAATGACCAGCTTCGGTGTGAGAGTCCGGTCGGTATCTTAGCACTCATATAAACTATCAGATATGAATTTATGTGGCACTTTTCTCTCATTGGTCATAATGTACCAACATTTTGTTTTAATAGTAATAGTAATTACTGACAAGTAGTCTTCATCAGTGAAATATGATGCAGAATGGTTGGACATCTGAATAACCATATTAATATATGTGTAAAACTTGGGCACTATGGTAGTAAGTAATGCCATATTAGTTTGTTTATTAGATACATGACACAGGATAATGACAACATCAACAACAAATAATCTAAATCATCAGTAGTACCTACCTCCATACAAAGAAGGAACCTCGGAAACAACCTTACGCAGAATTCTTAACAAGGCAGGAATAAAAGTGGCTGGCATTCAAATCCACAAACTCAATTAGAAACAAGGTTTGTCGGCTAAAGGATCCTGCGGAGCCTTTAAAACAAAACAATTTAGTTTATCTAATACCCTACCTCCAATGATAGTCAAGGTAATAGAAAGGGGTCAGACAGTCAAATTAGCGGAGCACAAAGCCTAGCAAAATTTACATTAGTTGATCCGAATAAAATAAGAAATCTGGAGAATAGTTCAACGGCTATACCACTCACTAGATGCAACCACACACAACCACCCATACAATAGAATGGGATAAAGATGACAGTTTTAAAATCTAATGTAACAGTAGGGTGTAGGGAGAGATTGCTAACAGAAGCCTTTGTTTATCGAATCAACTGCAGACCAACACGTGTGATAGGAATGAGTCAACACCTATCCAGTCAGACATCTGGAAAATTCTACTACCTCTATGAAGAATAGGAGGGAATAGAGGAAACTATAAAACTCAAGTAACAAAGTTGTGTGGTTATAATTGTGTGATATATCTAATAAACAAACTAATATGGAATCTGAATAACCAACTAGTAGACTTTCTGAATATCTCAGCGCCAAATGATGCGAATTCTAATCTCAGAGAGAGAGAGAGAGAAAGAATTACTTCAGCCTATTTAGATGAAGGTCTCCTTCGGGTGAATCGAAAGTAACATCACTAATTCAACTGTTGGTTTGTAGGGATTTGGTTGATTGGTTACGGGATTTCATCATGAGCTGATAGTGGTTGGAGAACCAATGAAAAACCAGTAGTGGAATACTGGACAGCTGTTTCGTCCTAGTTCGGTACTCTTCGTCAGTACGCACTGGCGACTTGCCCTATTCAGGTAGGTACCTGGGGTTCTAGTGGAAAGTCGTGACCAGTAGGGCGTCTAGTGGTCGTGAATTGGCAGAAGTTAGAATTCATGGGCTGGCCATTGGATCGGATCTCAGTGGTTTAATGGTCTACGGGCTCGCTTGCCTTGTAACCAGAAGGTCTTGGGTTAGAACCCCGGTGGGTGCATACTGATGAGGAGTCCCAAGCCAGACTGACGAAACAGCTGTACAGTACTCCCAGGTTTTCCAATAATTCTCTAACCAATGTCAGCTCATGATGAAATCTTGTAACATCATTCATTTTTGGTGGATTAGAATAGTCATACTGAGTAAGTCGTTTCCCAACGTAGAATTCAGCGTAGCACCTCCACTATGCATAAACAGCCGGGATTATATCAGTGCGCAGACAAACGTACCTCACAACACTATCTCCCTCATATGCTTATCAAGATAATAACGATGCAAGTCAATTGAATAACACCCATAGGCCTGGTGATCACTTAAGGCTACACCTCACACCAGACTACTCTTCCACAGGAATCCTCATTTTCAAAATGACCAAATAAGTCAACTTTTATTTTGCTAGTGTTTATTATAATTTTTTTATTATTAAAAATAGACGAATAGTTTACAAATGCATAGAAAAATCTGGAAGGTGGTGGGAGTGTGTGAGGGTAAATACAAATGACCCTCAGAGTATAAAAGATCGATATCTATACCTCTATAATAACTAAAAACATTTAAATTTTTTCCAAATTACAGTTTCGAAGAGGATAACGATAAAAAAATAAGGACAAATCAATTTTTTTAAAATCTTCTCTCTAAGAAATAAAAGTTCTAATAAAAAAGTAAATTTGTTAAGAAGAATTTGGAAGAGGGTGTGTGCAGGTATATATCTGAAATCTAAGACGACTTAACCAGTTATTCTTTATCTAAGATGCCTAAATGAAAAAGATGCCGCATAGTTGGACGCCCATGTGGACAATTCTGAAAGACAAAAAGAGAAATATATAAATAAGTAAGTTAAAAAACACTGGATTGATGTTAGGTAATTGGAAGGGCAATCAGCAGGAAGCCCCACCCACCTACCTACCTGATCTAGGTTTCTTGTTTGTTAACACTCACCAGTCAGTCAGTCAGTGAGCAAGGCGTATCTGTCTTGAAACCTCTTACTTACATATATACCACATTTATCTTAAAGTGTGTCGGTGGCACAGCGGTAGAATGCTCGCCACCCACGCTTTATGTGGCTTGGGGTTCGATCCTTGGCCGCCAATGCACTCCTTTACCTCGGTAAACCAGGAATAAGACTGGTAATGAGGGAAGGTTCAGCATGAGGCTAGCAACCCCCATCCCGTAAAAATAAATACCACTGCTACTGAAACTTCAAGTGTCTAGCTTGAAGCCCTATATTCCACTGGTAACGTAAAGGTTATAAAAAAAGTTCTTCAAGTTGTTGGTTTGTGATAACTCAACATTCTTATTATCTCCCATGTCATTATATTAGGACACTGAATACCATTCTATATGAGTAACATTCATAACCTACAATAAAGATACAACTGCTTTCTACCAAACAGTTTTCTGCATGCTTAATCAATTTACGAGTACAGACTACCACCATGCAGCTATAAATGGCGATAATTTCCGACTTTGGAGATCTATTGTGATGAGAGGTGGTTGCGAACGAGGCAAAAATGTAAACAGCAATTTACGTCAATGTTCACGTACCGAATCAGAGTCATGAGAAAAACGACCTTCAGAAAATCCTCAACCAATCATAGCAGACTTAACGTGTGGGGAAATATGATTCGCAGGTATGTGGTTTAATTTTCTGAGAAACGGTCACAAAGCAATACAGAATAACTTTCAGTAAGAAAACAACCAATCGGAAGACGTTTCTTCTCCGCTGACAATAATGCACATAAAATCTATAAATATCACTTGATTTTTTCTCAACAAACAATCTGTTGCCTAACCTATGTCTTCTGTTGTTACACTATCATCCTTCTGGTGCAGTAAAACATATCTGCCTGGAGTTATAGCCGATATTCTGATGTTACCCTACGATTAATTACACTGTTGAGGAAGTGATACAAATGTATTAATCACTTTGGATTAACATACCACCTGAGTATAGATCAAGAATAAAATCCGATGAAGTACACAACAAAGTTATGTAGGTGAACTGACTTTAAACTTTACTTTTTTTCCCAAGTATCTGTAATCCATCTAACACATATTTGGGTTTTTTGTTATTGCAAAGACTACCTTTGTATTCAAGTATTGGTTTGTAGGGATTTTGATTGATTGGTTACAGGATTTCATCATGAGCTGACATCGGTTAGACAGAACCATTGTAAGACCTGAGAGTACTGTACAGCTATGTCGTCAGTCTAGTTTGGGACTCTTCATCAGTACGCACCCGCCAGGGTGAATTGGCAGAAGTTGGAATTCGTGAACTGGCCATTGGATCAGGTCCCAGTGGCTTAATGGTCTACGAGCTCGCTAGCCTTGTAACCAGAAGGTCCTGGGGTTTGAAACCCCAGTGGGTGCGTACTGTGGAAGAGTCCCAAACTAGACTGACAAAACAGCTATCCAGTACTCCCGGGTCTTACAACGCTTCTCTCTAACCGATGTCAGCTCATGATGAAATCCTGTAACCAATCAATCAAATCCCTACAAACCAATACTTGAATATCAATGAGATGTTCACTAGTGACTGGCTCTATTCAGTTAGATAGTTACCTGGGTTCTAGTGGGAAGTCGTGACCACTAGGGTACAGCAGGTAGGGCGTGAGGAAAAATACTCCCCACGGATGACACTGGCTAGTGGTCGCACTATGTCGTGAACTGGCAGAAGTTGGAATTCATAGGCGATTGGACCGGGTCCGAGTGGCTCAATGGTCTATGAGTTCACCTTGTAATCAGGTCCTGAGTTTGAAATTCCAGTACGTGAATACTACTGAGGAGTCCCAAACTAGGACGAAACATCTGACCAGTACTCCCAGGTTTTCGAATAGTATTTCTATATTTCTTAATATGCTACATTGACTGACCTAGTTATCAGATTGTTCCCATAAACTAAAGTCACAAAAGAACAGCAACCAAGTAAACTGACTGTAAACCAAATTTATGTTTTATGCTTATCTATACCTATACCATTGGTGTGTTCCTGCATAAACAGAAGTGTATATATTAATATTATTATTATCTTGAGGGAACTCATAGCCCTCCTGAGATTCGAAACCGCGTCATCCAGTGAGTGCTGCAGTCAGAACTGCTCCCATTAAGCTATTCGGGCCTGTGATTTACCTCCCTTGAGGACTGTATTGCATACTTTGATTGTACACATCAGTTTGTAATTAATGTTACGTGTTTAGTCCATTCGTTTAGTGCAGACTGAATTCTCATATCAGTCAAGTTTGCAATGTGGCCATTATGCCACTAGGTGGCTAGCCATTATGTGGTGCACTTTGAATTGTTGATATTAGATGGTTGAAGACAATAGGCAGGAAGTCCCGGACCAACCAAGGTAGATGCAAATGTCAGTTGCTTTGGTTATTTGATCTTCAGTATGGAGCCAGTGAAGCTGGCAGTTGTTGATAAAAGTCTGCAACCTGTTGGAATGCCTTTTCGTGAGGTATATACTATTGGGAACTTCTAAAGCGAAAAAAATTATTGTGTTCTTTTTTTTATTCCTTTATGTTCCCCAGTGGAGCATAGGGCTTCGAACTAGAGCTTTGAAGTTCCCGTAGCAGTGGTGTTTTATTTTATGGGGTGGGAGACTGCTAGCTTTACGCCCAACTATCCCTCTTTGTTGGGATTATAACCGGATAAGTGGGGGGTAAAGGTGTGCGCCGCCAGCTGGGGATCGAACTACGGTCGGCCAGCACACTACCACTGAACCACCGACACTCAGTGTCCCTTAGTCTCCATTTATCTAGACAGCATTATTTTTCAGGTAAAGGTGGCACGGATTAGGATATCACAACTGGCCAAGATCAGAAAAGCGACACAGATCCTCATTAATCTGAAGCCAGTGTAGAAATCTGATGCACTCAGCCAACATAAAGAACAAGATTTGGACTTTACAACACTAATGTTAATTAAATCAGCGCTTCTATGCGGTTCAGAGACATGGCGTGCTGCGTGACAAAAGGCATTTTGAAGAGGCGTTCTACTGCAGACTTTTATCAACACAGCTGCTTACTTCACTGGTTTCACACTGAAGATCAGACAGCCGGCTAGAAGGGTATTAGAAACAAGGAACTCTGCCAATAAATCAGCATACTGCTGAAGAGAATGAAGATGGATCAGGGACACACACTAAGGAGACTGTTGGATGACATCATGCGTTTGAAAAAACTTCAAATGGAATCCAAATGGGAAACGCGCCCAGTTGGGTATCACTCTGAGGGTGACATGAAGGAAATCATTCGAGGAGAAGGAGGCGAAGAAACCCTGTAGACAATCGTGGAGCAAACTAAAAGGGATTGTAAAAACAGGATGAAATGGAGATGTTCAGTGTTCAACCCGGAACTGGAGGGATTAATAATAATAATGAATAAAATCAATATTCTATTCACGATAGATGTCCCACAGTATAAATTAGGAATCTTGACTGGTGTAGTCTACCCACGTGGGGTATGCAAATCGTACACTCACCGATGAGATTTGATTGGTGGTGCGCTATCACCATCATCATATCTCAAGAATTGGCTGGTTGAGTTCTATCTACGCCTACCACTAATCATAATAATAATGATACAATGACTTTTGGTTTATTCATCGGGGTAGATTGACTATATCATGTAAACATATTCAGTTAAGCATTTGAAAGCATATGTATTTTATTTATTTATTTTTTTTTGTTGGCTAAACTTACCCAAGGATGATCCATTGTACTCATATTTGTTAAAATCTACAAATAATAGAATAAAGAAGAGGACTGTTTAAAACAACTACTACTTACACACACATGAAGAGATAACATAATCTAACGGACAAAAATGCTTATATATATATATATATATATATATATATATATATATATATATATATATATAGAGAGAGAGAGAGAGAGAGAGAGAGAGAGAGAAAATCAACAGATATTTATAGATTTTTATGTACAGTATTATTAGTGTTATTGTTAACAGAGAGGCAACGTCTTCTGATTGCTTGTTTTCCTGCTGAGGGTTATTCTGTCATCTCTTTGTGGCCTACTGTTAGACTGTCCGTTGATATATCTGCTAATCGTATCCGCCCTCGCAAAGTCTGCTGTGATTGGTTATTGAGTTCCTCAAGGTTAGACTTTGTCCTTGTTTTTTCCCATGACCAAGATTTGGGATGTAAACACTGACGTAAATTGCTGTCTGCCAGTTTGGCTAGCAGACAGCTATCATTATATATATATATATATATATATATATATATATATATATATATATATATATATATAGTTGGCACGCCCTTTGGTCGACAGTCGGATATCATGTCTATGCCAGAGATGGCATAAATTGGCAAATGCCAAATGGGCTTTCTCTATCCATGCTGAGATTTCGTCGACACGGTGGTCAACCACTTCACTCCCTATCTTTTAACTAGGAGTGAGTCGATGTAGTCCAGTCCATTCCTGTAGCATCACCTTACATTTGACAGCAGAAGCGAATCGCATACCGAACATTCGAAGAATGCTGCTTCTCAAGGTGTTCAGAAGACTCTGCATTTTATCAGTGTCTTCAACTTAAAAGGATTATATCCCCCCGCATACTATAAGTCAACAAGATTATTTCCCGATGGTAACCAATCTATCTCCAAGTCAATAAAACCAATTAGAGTCAATTGTAATCATACATCCACGATGAAACTGAACAGAAATGAGGACAGTGAGCATCCATGGTGGACACTACCGGTTGTCATCACTTCAGATGACCACTCTCCATAAGCTCTTACAGGGCTCTGTGAGTTCGAGTAAAGTGTCTTGATTAGTGGCGATGTACCTCCTCCTTGGCATTCCCTTCACAGCCAAACATTGCCATAGTACCTCTCGGTCGAAAAAGTTGATTTCCGCCTTTACGTAAAAGAAAAATATGGCAAGTGTTAGACGCAGGTAAGTATACCTGTGTTCCAAGATCTGTCGAAGGATGAAGACATGATAAATACACCCTCTTTCCGGGGGTCGAAAACCTACCTGCAAAGTTCTATGTCGAAAACCGACCGACCGACCGACCTGGTTTACTCAGATTTATTTCTCACAAGCATCAACTGATATCTACGCATGAATATTGAGACTAGACACTTTAGATATCATGTTAGTCCAGATAATCCCAACCCCAACCCCCCCCATGAGTATCGCACAGGAAGACTTGTCTCTCTTCTTAAACACTAGGGATAATCGGTAACTTACACCAGTCCAACAGAGCTCTCTCTCCTCTAAATGTCTGTCTGTTTCCGACATAGAACGTTGCACAGATGTGTGGCAGTTCAAGTCGCCACACTCCATGTACCACACAAAACAAGAGAAGAAAGTAGAAGAAATGCATATTAGAGACAGTAAGCAGAGGTGTGAGACAAAGGAATAGTAATAACGGAGAACAAAACAGTTTCATTGGAAATCATGAGTCACAAGGAGTGGATGCATCTGCGCTAGCCATTGAGAACGAGGATTTTGAGCCATATCACCTTTTGTTTCCAGCCTTCATTGGTTCTTACCGTCCCGAGGACCCCAACCAGTCAGGAAGTCTACACCTTCCTACGTGGCTCGCTTAGACTAACTGTTACGGATTTCATTGACTGGTGCCATGTTTTGGTTTGACCGCCGCTAGTTCTTTCCCAATCTGTCCCTATGTCAGCTAACATTGCCCGTCGAGGAAGGCGATGACTAGGCATACGTAGCACATGTCCTAACCATCTCAGTCGATGTAGCTTCACAGTCTCGTCGATTAACTTCCCCTCTTTACCTAGCACTCGACGCCTAACCTCAATATTAGCCACCCTATTATATCATTTCACACGGGAGATAAAACCCAGGCACCTATGATCAAAGACAGCTAGCCAGGCTTTTCATGTCTTCCACTTTAAGTGGCCATGTCTCACAGCCATAGAGGAGGACGGAGCAGACTGCTCATCCTTTGGTTGATATCCGGCTGGCTATCACGTCTACTAAGCCAGAGACGGCGTAAACTGGCATATGCAAAACTAGCCCTCTGTATTTGTATTGAGATTTTGTCAGAGATCAACCCGTTGGCACTGGCTGATGGTACTTCCCAAATAAGTGGAGTGACTTCAATATGTGACGATAATACCTCAAAGTACCACTTAGAAAAAAGAATAATATATCAACAACTGATGAAATACAAATAAGGAAATGTGTAATCCGACATTTCGTATGTTCTGTTCTGGATTCAACATAGGACATAGGCAACAGTTCGAGTTGCCACGTTCCAAATTGTACATAAAGGTAGACAAGAAAATGAGAGAAGAGAATCAATAGAGTTTTGACAAGTATAAGAGTGAAACAGAATGAGTAATGGCAGAAAGGAATAAGAAGGTTAAAGAGACTGAATACATCTGCGTAAGCCATTGACAACGATTTTGAGCCATGTCACCTATTGTCTCCAGCCATTGATTCCTAAGGTCCCGAGGGCGGGCCCCAACCCAGAAGTCTGCATCTCCCTCCCTACCTGACTCAGTTTAACTGTCAGGGATTTCATGGATTGATGAGGCCATGTTTTTGTTTGGCCACCACTCACTCTTTTCCATTCTGCACCTACCTATGTCAGCTAGTAATGCCCGTCCGTCGGGGGAGGCGATGGTTAGGCAGCACGTGACCTAGCCACCTCAATCTATGTAACTTTATAGCCTCTTCGATTGATTTCCCCTCTTTGCCCAACACTCTACGCCTAACGTCAACATTACTTACTTTATTATGCCACCTAACGTGAGAAAGAGATCGTAGACATCTATGATCAAAAACAGTCAACCTTTTCATGTCTTCAACTCGTATTGGCCATGTTTCAGAGCCATAGAGAAGGATGGAGCGAACTGCTGAGCAGTACACATGTCCCTTGGTTGATAGCCGGATGTCACGCCTACGCCAGAGACGGTGTAAAGTAGCGAAAGCAGCTAGAGCTTTTTGGATCCGTGCTGAGATTTCGTCGCCAATCAATCCGTTGGTGCTGATACAACTTCCCAAATAGGTGAAGTGGTCAACATGTTCTATCACTTCACTCCCTATCACTCAGTCCTGTAGCAGCATCTTACACTTTACAGAGGCGAATCGCATGCCAAACATACGAAGATTGGTGCTCAAGGTGTTCAGAAGACTGCATTTTGTCAGCATCCTCCCCTAACAGGACTACGTCATCTGCATATTCTAAGTCCATAAGACTATTACCTGGTAACAAGTCCATTCCTAAGTCGTTAAGTTCAGTTAAGGATACTCCCATTAGCATATTTATGATGAAGTTAAACAGAAATGGGGAAAGTGGACATCCTTGACGGACACCACTGGTTGTTATCAATTCAGATGACAATTCACCATAAGCCCTTACACGGCTACATGAGTTTGAGTAGAGTGCCTTGATTAGTGCAATGTACTTTCTTGGCACTCCCTTCACAGTCAAACATTACCATAGTACCTCTCGATCCACGGAGTCGAAGGCCGCCTTCAAGTCAAGAAATATGGCAATTGTTGGACGCCTAAAAGTGTGTCTATGTTCTAGGATCTGTCAGAGAGTGAAGATATGATGTATGCACCCTCTACCTGGTCTAAAGCCTGCTTGATTTTCCCTCGTTTGTTCCTCCCGAGTTCGGCTTAGTCTGTGCATGATTACTGAGCCTAGGATTTTAGAGACTATGTTCGTTGTATGTATGCACGTATATACGTATATTATATATAACAAGAACAACAACACAATATTAAATCAGTGTGCTTACTCGTTTCATTTTCTTATGATCTAATGCAGTCCCAATCATAACAGCACTACGACATGATTTTGAAGCGAGTATATCTCTCAAACGAGATGGACGACATTTTTTAGTCTACAACAAAAAATAATAATAAATTTAAAGGATTAACACGTAATTAGGTAATACTGGAGTGGAGATGGAGTGAAACAGTATTTGAATAAAGGAACAACAACAGTGGTTTGTACAGAATAATATGATACCATCATTTATTTCGTTGGCTTCTCATCAGCTCAGCTGCTTACAGCCTAAATAAATAATTATTAAGTTTATGTACAGTAAAAGGCTCAAACATCAAGAAAAACTACAGTGGGGAAAAAGCCTGTCTTCATTCAATATATGTGTAGAACTTGGGCACTGTGGTAGCAAGTAATTCCATATTAGTTTGTTTATTAGATGTATCACACAGTGAGTGAAACAGTATTATTTACTGGATGACACAGTTTCGAACGCAATTTATTCATTGTTCATAATCATTTCATCAATTATAATCACACGACTTCGAAACTTGAGTTTTATAGTTGTCTTTATTCTCTCCTACTTGTCGTTGTCGTTGGGGTTGTAGAATTTTCCATATATCGGGGACAGGTGTTGAATCATTCCTATTACACGTGTTGATTTGATAAACAAAGCTTCTGTTATCAATCTTCCCCACTCGCCATCCTGTTACATTAGATTTTAAAACTGTCATCCTATCCCATCCCATTATGGGGTCGCGTTGTGTGTAATTGCATGTAGTGAGTTGTATAGCTGAACTATTCCCTAGATTTCTTGTCTTATTCGGGTCAGCTAATCTAGATTTTGCTGCTAGGTTTTTATGCTCGGCTATTCCGACTGACTGCCTCTGTTCTACTAGTTTGACCTGACAATCATTCCAGAAGGGTATTAGATAAACTAAATTATTTTGTTTACTTGGCTCCAATGATCCTTTAACCGATGAAGCTTGTTTCTAATTGAGTTTGTGGGGGGTTTGAATGCCAGTCGCTTTTATTCCTGCCTTGTTAAGAATTCTGCATAAGGTTTCCGACACCAACAATAAGGAATCTAAATCATCAGTAGTAATTCCATACATGGAAGGAACCTCGGAAACCACCTTACGCAGAATTCTTAACAAGGCAGGAATAAAAGTGGCTGGCATTCAAACCGCCCCACAAACTTAATTAAAAACAAGCTTTGTCGGTTAAAGGGTCAATCCTGTGGAGCCTTTAAAACAAAACAATTTAGTTTATTTAATACCCTTCTGGAATGATTGTCATGTCAAATACATAGGTCAAACTAGTAGAACAGGGGCAGTCAGAGTAGCAGACCATAAAAACCTAGCAAAATCTAGATTAGTTGACCCGAATAAGATGATAAATCTAGAGAATAGTTCAGCTATAGCACTATACCACATGCAATTACACACAACCATACGATAGGATGATGGGATAGGATGACAGTTTTAAAATCTAATGTAACAGTAGGGTGCAGGGAGAGATTGATAACGGAAGCTTTGTTTGTCGAATCAACTGTAAATACATGGAATAGGAATGATTCAACACTTGTCCCAGATATCTGGAAGATTCTACTACCCCTAAGACAAATAGGAGAGGACAAAGAAAACTATAAAACTCAAGTTTGAAAGTCGTGTGATTATAATTGATGATATGATTATGAACATTAAATGCCTGTCTTCATTCAAATCGATTTTAAAGGTGAAAATATTACAGCAATGGTCAACAGTAGTAGATTGAGTATGCCACTATCCAGAGCCTATCATCCTGCAGCTAAGCTGCTTCTCCATCTACCAGACAACATGCTCTTTGGTGCAGTCAAAAGTCAATAGATACCTCGTTCTCATGTTAACAACTCCAACTGTGTATACAAATTTACATGAATCTGCAGGAGCAGTTACATTGAGCGAACTCTGATTTTCTGAACATGTACCAAAAAGCCCGTCTCAAGGGAATAAACACTCATAATAATGCCATTACAAGACACCTCCTTGATAAATGTTAAGTGACACCCTACTATCCTATAACCAAAGCTTTTATCGAATGTGAACAGTCATTGTATACCTTCCGAAGCGTCTGATTTTTACGTTCCTAAAGTATTAGCATTATCTTGTATTAAGCAAATACAGGATTTTTTTCTCTATTTGGTGTGCTGACGAAAACGAAATGCCTTGTATGATCACTAAGACATATTGACTTCCACATTTGAGTACGTCTCATTATATAAATTTAGTCTTCTAGTTATTACGAGTTGATCACGAATTGATATCAGTTAGAGAACCATTAAAAACCGGCCAAGGAGTACTGGACAGCTGTTTCGCCAACCTAGTTTGGGAATCATCGTCCCACCGACGACATTGGTTGGGGTCGAGCTAAATCACAAATCGGTAGAAGTTAGAATTCATGGGTTGGCCATTGAATCGGTCCCAGTGAGTGGCTGAATGGTATACGAGCTCGCTAGCCTTGTAACCTGAAGGTCCTGGGTTCGAACCCCCTGTGGTGTGGGTGTGTACTGCCAATGATTCCCAAACTAGACTGATGAAACAGCTATCCAGTACTACCTGTGGCTGGTTTTCAATGGTTGTCTAACTGATATCAATCCATGATCAACTCGTAAAAACGAAACTAATCCTTACAAACCAACTTCTAGTTATTATTTTGCATACTATACCTGCTCAGAAAACGTACGTATAAGGATAAAGCACAATTTAACACCTTTAGCAGTTATATAACAAGATTAATCACGAATTGATACAGTTGGAGAACCATTGAAAACCGTCAAAGAGTGTGGTGAACAGCAGTTGGGACTCTTCAGAACTACGTATTTATTACACCACTAACAATCGAATCCAGGACTTTCACGTTACAACATTCATCATCTACTGGGACGGGATTCGATAGCCCATTAATTTCAATTTCTGAGAATTAGTGATATGTCTGACTGACTGGTTTCAACGTAGAACATTCCACTGATGTGCAGCAGTTCGAGTCGCAACACTTCATATAGCATACAAAGCAAGAGAAGAGAGTGAAAAGAGATTCAAAACAGATATAATAAACAGAGATATGAGGGAAAAAGAATAGTAATATCGAAGAACAATATAGCTTTATTGGATATTATCAGTCAAAAGGAGTGGGTGTATCTTTGTTACTAAGAACGATTTTGAGCCATATCACCAATTTTTTCCAGCCTTCATTGGTTTTTACCGTCCCGAGGACGACAACCAGAAAGTCTACACCTTCCTACATCACTGGCTGGCTTAAAATAACTGTTGTGGATTTCCTAACCATCTCAATAAATGTAGGATATGTGTTAACCACGAAACACCTGTCCAATACCCCTGAGTTTTCGGTGATTCTCTAACTTGGTGGAGCCCCTTGACGGTGGTTGCGTCAAATACATATATCACGAATTGGCAGAATTTGGAATTCATGCATTGGTCATTGAGTCGGGTCCCGTTAGCTTAGTGGTCTACGAGATCACCTTGTAACTAGTAGGTCCTGGGTTCGAACCCAGGTCGGTGCGTACTTCTAAAGAGTCCCAAACTAGGCTGACGAAGCAGCTGTCCAGTACTCCCAGATGGTTTCCCTAACTGATGTGAGCTCATGATGAAATCCTATAACATATACGAAGCTACTGAAATGTCACTGATGGGGTCACATACACATACAAGTACAAATTTGGTTTCTATACCGAAAGATAACTTACACACGTTTCTGATAAAACGAACAGCATTTCTTCAATATCTGTCATAATAAAGGGGGAAATACAAAAATAAGAAAAAAAATGGAGACTGAAATTCACAACTTGCTATTAAGTGATATATGAAATAATTATCGAAATATGAACATGAATATAATCTGGACACATGAACTGTTTGAAAGCAAAACAAACCACAAAAATATCAGAAAGTATTGTATGGTGGCTTTCAACCATTATGTATATAGGTCGGCAACTCGATGATGAGATGACCGCCAGTCACACACACGGAAGATCTAGGTTCAATCCCCAGTCGACGTACCCGCTTAACCACGCCTAGTCCGTAGTAAGCCAAGAAAAAGGTTGAGAGTGAGGTTAGCAACCCCAAACCTCACCCAGTGGAAACAACATCAACCGCTATTGGAGCTTGATATGTTGAAGCCCTATATTCAGCTTAGATATGATGGAGAAGATTTGTAGCTCAGGTGGATGATTTCGTTGTGGTTGTGTTCTCTGAGCTGGATAGTTAATTTGCGAAGCTTTCATTGCCCTACTTGATAGGCAAAATCTTCAGTGCATACTTCAATTTGAATTGAAGTAAGCGTTCAGATTTCTCCATGAGTTCACTATTAGTCATCTCTCCTGGTGGGTGGTGACCCTGAACGTCGTGATTGGTTGTTTCTGTGTGTGTTTTCACACCCTCTAGACTACTTGTATCGGAACTGGTTGTTTCCTTGACCTAAACTTCGACCCTTTGTGTGTGAGATTTCCTTTTTATCGGTTGGTAAGGGTTGTCTATCTCGATGTGTCTACTGATTGACGATTCACTGGAATACCAGGCTTCTAGAAAAATTCTCTAGAATTTTTGGTGTTTCCTCTGTATAATATTTGAACGTTAGTTATCCCAGTCGAATTGATGTCCGTAGTTGTCTGTATGCAGTGATATGAGTGAGGGAGTGGATATAATATCTTTTGGCGATTAGTTTGTGATGATGGATACGAAGATGAAGAGGACGTCCACTTTGGCCAATGTAGTGTTCTTCGCAGTCGTTGCAACCAACACAAACTAGCCGTCAAAAGACATGACATCCACTCCGTCACTCGTATCACTACATACAGACAACTACATACATCAATCTGACAGGGACAACGTTCAAATATTAGACAGAAGAAACACCAAGAATGTCAGAGAATTTTTCTAGAAGCCTAGTATTCCAGTGAATCGTCAATCAATAGACATATCGAGATAGACAAAATTTACCAGTCGACAAGAAGGAAATCTCTCACACAAAGGGTCAGAGTTCAAGTCAAAGAAACAGTCATTTCTAATACAAGTAGCCTAGAAGGTGTGAAAACTCACAAAAACAACCAGTCACCGCTTTCAAGGTCACCCACTAAGAGAGATGACTACTAGTGAACTCGTGGAGAAATCTAAAAGCCCATCTTAATTCAAATTGAAGTATGCACTGAAGATATCGCCTAGCAGGGCAATGAAAGCTTCGCAAATTAACTATCCAGCTCAGAGAACACAACCACATCAAAATATATTCAGCTTGAAACGTTAGGGATGGAAATAAACTTCAATGAGAAGCTATGGACTATGGGAATAGTATTCAATCTGGATGGAAAGACTGGTAAACAATCCACCAGTAAAATCACAGCATCGTGAACAAACATCAAAAATAAGAACCAACTACCTATGGATCCCCTTGAAAAGGATATGATAAGCAATGATGGTGAAGAGTGTGATTTAATGCTTGTTGAGATAAAAAGGAAACGAACATGAACGGAAGTTAAAAGGAATACAGAGAGAACATTACTACGGAATAGAAGCTACCCCCCCATTAATAAAGAAAATTGGAGTGCCCAAGTTTTACACATATATAATATTGTACCAAGATTGTTTCTCATAATAATGTGGTGAGAGCTGCTTGCGAACAAGCCAAAATTATAGACAACAATTTACGTCAAAGTTCACGTCCCGAATCAGGGTCATGAGAAAAACAGTAACAAAGCTTAACCTTGAGACAGCGTGGGCGGATACGATTCGCAGATATATGGCTTGATTTTCTGAGAAACGGTCACAAAGGGATAACAGAGTAACCTTCAGCAAGAAAACAATCAATCAGAAGAGGTTGCTTCTCCACTAACAAAAATGCACATGAAAATCTATAAATACCTCTTGATTTTCTCAAAAAATGATCTGTTGCCTGGCCCTTGTCTTCAGTCGTTAAAATGATAGTAATGGTATTTGCCAAGAATAATACAAAGCTATAATCGGTGAAATAATTCTCACCCAATGAATTTCTGATATTACATGGTTAGAGACAATCGATAGGAAGCCTCGATTGACTGACCTAGGCTTCATGCTAGTTGGCACTCACCAGTCAGTCAGTCAGCAAGGCGTATCTGCAACCTCGAAGGAAATCATGTTCCCCCCCCCCGAATGAGATTCGAACCCGTGTCACTCAGCGCTGCAGACGTGTTACCTACTAGCACGAATCTTAGTTTTAGTCAAGGCTTCCAGTGGCCATTTGCCTCCAACCATCTAAAATCAAAAATTCAAAGTGTACCGTGATGGTGAACCACCTAGTGGCATAGTGACCACACTGAAAACCTGACTTGATGTGAGAATTCAGTCTACACCAAACAGCAAGGACTAGACACATCACACTAGTTACTAACTAGTGTCCAATCAAAAAAGGTTCTCACCTCTGTAACTGAATAGTTTATTCTCTAACATTGGTGCGGCGACAAGAAACACTTGTTCACCAAGGGGTTCTATGAAAAAGTAAAAAGAAAGAAAGATAATGTCGTAATAGATGAGGTATTTATTAAAAATTAAAAAAAATGATGTCGCCGTTATAAACCAATCAATCAATCAAGAAGGTAAACAGTGGAAAAAATCCAACATATATAAATAGATTTGTTAATCAGCTGAAGAGGCACCAACTGCTACCTGAATTATTTTTTTGCAAGTTGGTCAAATTTAGAAATTCCCAGATTTCAAGCGAGAAGTTGTGACTAACACCGTCACCGTCATGTCGACTGAGACGAATAAGTTAGAATTGATGGACCATTGAATCCCTCGTGAGTGACTAAATGGAAAACAAGCTCCATTATGGATAAGATTTTATTTTGATAAATCACACAGTGTTGGTTGAACAGTAATATTAACTGATGACCACGTTTTGAGCACAATTTTATTGCTGCTCTTAATCATATCAAGGCACTACTCACACAACTTTCTTGCTTCATTTATATACATGTGTGGAATTGACTAGATATTTGAATAGCAATCAATATGGGATAATGTACATTCAGAAATAATAATAATATGAGTGTTATCAATCAAACACAATCAGATGGGAAATAAGACAAGTGCTTTTATTGTCGAAATAAGTAACTTGTTAGAATGTTGTGATGTACGTGAATTGAAATAGAATTTTAAGATTATTTATTATCCTTCTCTGATTTGACTGACTGGTGGTAATAATCTCTTCCATATCTGTGGTATTTGCATTGAGTCATTTCTGTTGCATGTTTTGGGTGTAGACTCGATGAACCAGGATTCAGTAATCTCTCTACCTACCTACCTACCTACCTATATTACTTCTTAGAATTTTGACTCTGTCCCACTCACCCTATTGTGTGATTGCGTGTTAATGCACCCATGTATATAAATAAAGTAAAAAGTTGTGTGAGTGACTTGATATGATTATGAGTGGCAATAATTTGTGCTCGAAACATGGTCGTCAGTTAATATTACTGTATAACACGACTGTGTGATTTATCAAAATAAAATCTTATCCATAATGAAGTTACACTCTATCACATTGCCCAAGTTTTATACTTATATCAGGAAAACAAGGTCGTCCCGTAACCAGGAGGTCCTGCACTCGAGTCTTCATTGGCACCATGACCGCGTACTGCTCGAGAGTCAGTCACGAAGCGGGATCAAACAGCTGTGTAGTAGTTCGTAGTTTTCAATGGTTCCCCAAAATACTGTCAGTTCGTCATCCAACTTCAAATCAAAATCCTTATAGAACAGTCAGAACGAGTAGAAGCATATTTGAATGACTTATTTTACAATGAACGATCAGCTCGTCTGCAGTCTTAAAACAGAAAATTCTTCTTATATTCTTTACTCGAATCGGAATCGGGTATTAGCGTTTTCCACCAACTAACACAGTTAATGTCAATCTGCAGACAACTTATTATAAAACCCCTCTACCTCAAAAATTCAATCAACAATGAGTTGTTGAGAACGAACCGAATGTTATTCGTATTTTTTGCAATTCCTGAGTAGAATATTTTCTAGTGAAGCTATCACCACCTTTCTGAACAACACGACCTCAGAGCTATATTCAAGATCAAGTGAGCTGTAAGGATTCTCCGGCAAGATCAATATGGCTATCTCATTTGATGACCTTCATTGTGATTGGTTGTTTCCATAATACCTGCTTACCCTCTTGTTCATTTATAATGGTGTGGTGAGAGCGGTCTACTAGCCAAGCGGTGGACAGTAATTGAGGTCAATGTTTATGTATCAAATATTAGTCATGTTGTGGTGAGAGATGGTTGCTGGCCAAATTGGTTGACAGTAATCGAGGTCAAAGGTCAAGGTGACAGGCGGTTACAGTTAACATATAGATGAACTGACACAGCCACAAGAGATGCAAGGTTAACTTTGTGTGAGAAACAACCAATCAACAGACTGTATTTTCTACTAACATTGACCTTCAACAATGTACATAAAAATCTATAAATACGTGTTGATTTTTCGTAATAAACGATCTGTTGCCTGGCCCTTGTCTTCTGTTGTTACAATGGTACTGATTAATAATTTATCGAGGATGTGACTCATTTCTGCTTGAGGTGATAATAACTAATCCTGGATTGGGACTTACTGTCAGTTGATCGAAAAGGGTGACATGAATTCAGATGCTAGGAAGTTTCTTCTGTTTGAAGACTACCAATGGCTATCCACCGCACAATTGGAGCTGAGCGTAGTCGTGACTGCTAGCATCTGCAGATTATTTCGTCCACTACATTTTCTAATGCCTGTCCGGATATTTTATGTGGTGTTCTCAAAGTATTGTATATGATTAAAGGCAACAATAAGGGGTAACATACGATGTTGTGAAGGCAATGCCAGGCGAGTAACACTATAAACCCATAAAACAGTGAAGTCAAGGACTGACAAACATACAAATTTCTGTCTCAAACTGGACACAACAACGACTATGTGGTTAGGGAAACTACTAAATGAATGTCTTTGCAGCAATATCAGACATCCTTTAAGTTAGATAACTGAACTCAAGTTTGCATGCTCGCATCTTGCACAGTTAGTCATCAGCTAACATAGAAAATAACGAAAGAGTTATGGAAAGATTTTGTTTGTTTGATTGGATGGAGGATTTCACCATGAGTTGACACTGGTTAGAGAACCACTGGAAAACCTGGGAGTACTGGACAGCAGTTTCGTCCCAGTTTGGGATTCTTCATCAGTACGCGCCCACCGGGGTCACTGAATTGGGTCCCAGTGGCTCAATGGTCTACGGGCCCGCTAGCCTTGTAACCAGAAGGTTCTGGGTTCGGACCCCAGTGGGTGCGTACTTCTTAAGAGTCCCAAACTAGGACGAAACAGCTGTCCAGTACTCGCAGCTGGTTATCCAGTGGTTCTCTAACCAATGTCAGCTCATGATGAAATCCTGCATCCAGTTACGGAAAGAAGTGTGGAAGATTTGCAGTGTAAAAATAGCAGCGAGTTCCGGTAAGGTTTAGACGTTAATACAACACACACCGAACTGCTAAGGTCAGTCTGGTTTTCAATCACTGTAAACAATACAGAGTTTCTTATTGTAAGAGTGTATCAATCGTCGACATTCAACGTGAAGAAGCACAAGCAACAAACGGTTGCTGGTGATTTCAACACACCACCAATCTACATTGATGAGAAGCCCACACACATAGGGGTTTTCCACAAAGAGCTGCTGAATACCATCGAGACTACTGATCTGTAAACAAGTCAAAGGGCGGAGGACGGACGACAAGTCATCAACGCTAAATTACCCTTTCACAAGCGAACACTTGCATATAGAGCATATACAACTATAGCTATTTCTAGGCAGCAGCAACTACGCAATAGTAGTCACTGACTTCGTCTGAAGGTCACTTATTTCACTTATTTGAGCAGAATCATTTCAACGACAGGGGAAACGGATGAGGATGTAAGAGAAAGGATTGGGAAAGCAAGATAGAGAGAAAGTAGATAGATGGAAAGATAGATAGAAAGTCAGGAAGGGGAGCTTCCAATGTTAGATTGTAGCGTAAAAAGAAAAGAAGATGGGAAGTTAAACACACTAGTGTGTTCACAGGAAACCCACCTGCACATTCAAACAGATATTTGGACTTCCGATCATCCTATCCTATGTCAATGAAAACAGTATTGGTGAAATGTTTAAGTGAAAATAGGGCACAAAACTAAGTAGTATCAAGGAAAATCTAAGACAGGAAGTGAGGCATATAAGAGAAGCTAAGAAACGTAATAACTACGCTGATAAATAAGTCAGAAAGTATGTAGGAAAATGTAAAAATAAAATAAATAATGATAGTAGCGATAGTGATAATAATAATAATAATGACGACATGCATGTCAGATATGCGCAAGACAACACCAACAGTAAGGAATCTAAATCATCACTAGTAATTCCATACAAGGAAGGAACCTCGGAAACCACCTTACGGAGAATTCTTAACAAGGCAGGAAGGAATAAAAGTGGCCGGTATTCAAACCACCCACAAACTCAATTAGAAACAAGCTTTGTCGGTTAAAGGACCAATCCTGTGGAGCCAATAAAACAAAACGATTCAGGTCAAATACATAGGTCAAACTAGTAGAACAGGGGCAATCAGTCAGACTAGCTTAACATAAAAACCTAACAGCAAAATCTAGATTAGTTGACCCGAAAAAGATAAGAAATCTGGAGAATAGTTCAGCTATACCACTCACTACATGCAGTTACACACAACCATACAATACGATGGGATGGGATAAGATGACTGTTTTAAAATCTAGTGTAACAGCATGGTGGAGGGATTGATTGATAACGGAAGCTTTGTTTATCGAATCAACTGTGGATGAATACGTGTAATAGGAATCATTTAACACCTATACACGCAGATATCTGGAAAATTCTACTACCCATATGACGACAAATAGGAGAGGACAAAGGAAACTATCAAACTCAAGTTTCGAAGTCGTGTGATTATAATTGATGAAATGATTATGAACAATGAATAAATTGCGTTCGAAACTGTGTCATCCAGTAAATAATACTGTTTCACTCACTGTGTGATACATCTAATAAACAAACTAATATGGAATTACAAGATGGACCTTCTTAAATCAGTGTGGAAATCTGTTGTACTCAGTATGAAGAACACGATTCGAATTTTCAACACTCATATCACAAATCAGTCAGTGATTCTATATGTCGAGTGACCCAAGAGGTCAAGTGGATAACGCTTTGGCGTTTGAAACTATGGACACTGGGTTCGAGCCTCAGTGGGAACATCACCACTCACTCAGTGGGGAATGCAGGTACATCCACTTGACGAGTCCCAAATAGGACGAAATGCGCGTTATCCTGGATTCCACTGCTAGTCACCATCCACAAATTTATTTCTAGTGATTCTATGTAGTTCACAGACTAGATGCATCACCAAAAGCATTTTCAACAGGATACTGTAGATTTTTATCAACAGCTGCCTCCTTCTCTGGCTCAATACTGAAGATCAGATGGACAGCCAAGAAGGAAAAGCAATACAGAACTCTGGCGACGAGTAAACCAAGAACCTGTCGCCAAATAAATATGCCAGAAGAAATGGGGATTGATTGAACACACTCTGAAGAAACTGTTGAATGACATGATACGCCTGGCACACCCTAGAGTAGAACTCGAGTGGGAGAATGATGCTCGGAGTGGCTTCGTGTGCTCTTGGATGTGTGTGGGCGGTTTTTACTTCCCGGCTGCTCACACCGTGGAAGTTGATTGATTCTTCGGGTACCTGAAACAGAAAGAGGGTTAGCGTTGCGTGACCGCAGAGTCCAACAGACAACTGCTTAAAGTTGGTCACACACTGCCTGTCTGAACTGGCTTTTTGGTTTGGTTCTGTATTAGTAACTTACCGCCGACTACGGACCAGTGTAGGTGGGGTAAGTCGGGATGTACAATTTTTGGGGTCGAGCTTATCTAACTCCTCCCTCTCTCCAGAGTGGAGAGACAGCATACCTGGCTGGCATGCTGGTCATCTGAGGAAAACACCTCACTGCTGTTCAATCCCTGCTCCCCAGCAGTACGACTTTGCCCACAGACCCTCAGCATAGTGTAAAAACAAAAATTCTCACACAATGCCGTTAACTGCTTTTAGTCTACAATTTATAGTGTTCTCTGAGCTGGTTGGTTTAGTTACGAAGCTTTCGTCGTCCTTTTGGACAACATCTTCAGCGCCATATTTAGCACAAAGTGAAATGATTTAAATTTCTTCATGAGTGATATAATTGCGTCTCCTCGTTACTATCTTTACATATGTATTGACCACTTTCTATTGACTTGGACTTTGAACTTTCTGGTCACCTGATTTACTTTTTATTAGTTGGTAGATTTGGTCTATATTAACGTGTTTGTTAATTGCATTTTCGCTTGAGTACCAGGCTTCTAGGAATTCTCTGGCACTTTTCCTGTTTCCTCTGTTTAAGATTTTGACATTATCCCAATCAAATTGATGTCCATAATTGTCTATATGCATTGATACTAAAGAATACATATCGTGTCTTTTGACGGCTGATTTGTGTTCTTGGATTCTGATTCGAAGGGGACGCCCAGTTTGTTGACCGATGTAATGTCTTACAATTCATGCATGCAACTTATTTTGTAAATGGTATTAATTTTATCCCCTTTTTCTGTTGGATCTTTTGGTTTGCATAATATCGAATTAAGCGATTTTACTGGCTTGTGTGCTATATCTATATCTAACGGTTTCAGTATTCTGGCTGTTATTTCAGAGATATTCCTCATGTATGGTAGAATGAATTTTCTTGTGGTCTTTGATGATGGTTTCTTGTTGGTGTTTTGATTCGACTTTAAACACTTTTTGATGAAATTTTGTGGATAACCATTCTTTTTGAAGACCGTTTGTAGGTACTTTTCTACCCTTCTTTTCAACTCTGGAGTGCTACAATGTGTTTAAACTCTTTTAAACAATGTCCGCACACAGTTTCGTTTGTGAGTAATTGAATTATTGCTAGTATAGTTGAGTATTTGATCTGTGTGCGTTGATTTTCTATATACTTGTGTCTCTAAATCTCCTGTGTTGGTTCTCCTGATTAAGACATCTAAAAATGGGATTTTGTTATCTAATTCTTCTTCTCTTGTGAATTTGATGTCATCAAATATGTTGTTTATTAATTTTTGAGTATATTCTAAATCACTTTTCTTAATTATTACAAATGTATCATCAACGTAACGTATCCAGATTTTCGGTTTAATTATAGGTAGAGCTAATCGCTATCCTAACAACCTTCCTGACATGGCAGAACCTACAGGAACAATAGTTCCAGCCAGTGTAGCTTGTTGGGTCATTGCAATATACAAGCCCGACCACCACGTCACGGTATCAGCTGTCGGTCGGGATCGAGTGGGAAACAACACACAGAACTTTGCACCGATGTGCAGCAGTTCAAATGAGAAACGAAGAGTTGGGCGTCAGTGCGAGGTTGACGGAAAGAAATGAGAGTTTATGGGCAATGGTGGAGCCTCCTGAAAGCGATTGATTGCAAAGAACAGTCATGTGTTCCACTCAGAAGCGAAGGGAATAATAATAATAAAAGTAGTAATAGTAATAATTCATACATAATAACATCATACCATTATAGTTAATACGAAATGCAAATCCGTTTTTCGCGAATACATCCAAATTACTGATTAATATTTGTTCATTGGCAATGGTTAAATGTAATTTCTGTGGCCTATTGAAGGAGGAGGAGAAGTACACATAAACACAAACGTATGTCTATTTATTTAATTATTTATATTTTATATGAAAGCATATAAAAACCAAACAGACTTTTACAAAACTACAATCAGATTGAAGCGTTAGTTTGCTTGGATTATAGATTGGCTACAGGATTTCGTCACGAATTGACATCGGTTTTACAATGGTTCTCTAACCGAAGTCAGCTCATCAAGAGAACCTATTGCAATTGTAAATATTGCACGAAATGAAATGTCATCTAAGGACTAATGACACTACCTAGATGCTTAAACCTTGGTACACGGAGCTAGGTTCAATTCCGTGACCAAGTGCGGTTAGGAGTCGGGTGCCTACACCGGTGCAGCAACTATTATTATCATTATTATTATTTCCTTGGGCTTCAATAACACATCACATCTCCACTCTCTTCTATTTTCTGCTGTCCTCTTCATCTAGGTTCATGATTGCCCATAACCTCTCATCTCTTCCTTGCACGATCTCCTCCGTGTCACTCTCGCACCAACGACCCACTTGTAGCTTCCCAGTGGGATTCCACTCGAGCAATGACGGGGCTGGGGTGCAACGTCACTCGACGGTCTTCTCAATGTATGACCGATCCATCTCCATTTTCTCCTACATATTTGTTGAGCGATCAACTCTTGGTTGGCTTATTTCCAGCCGGAGTTTCTTGTTACTAATTCTTTCTAGCCATTTGATCTTCAGTATGGGGCCAACGAAGAGGGTAGCTGTTGATGATTGTCTGCAACCTGTTGGAAATCCTTTTTTTGTGACACGCAATGGAAGTTTCTGACCCGTATAGAAGAACTGACTGAATGATTTAACATTTATGTTGCAAATCCGAATCTTGTTGTTTATGCTGTGGAGTGTAGAAGATTTCTAAACTTGTTTCAGGTTGATGAAGGTGTATCTTGCCTGTCCGATTCTGATTGGCTGACTTTGACATCTTCATCCGTTCCAACGACCTGTGGGTGAAACCGTGCTTACTGCCTAGATAAGTGAAGGGGGTAACTTCTGTCAAATGTCTCCCCTTGATGATTATTGGTGCTGGTTGCTGTTGCTGTTCGTTGGTTATCTTAACCACCTCCGTCTTCTCTATGTTCACTTGGAGTCCCATCTTAGCTGCGACCTACTTCAGCCAGTTTGCTGGTTTTCGCCTGCCCTAAGTCTTCCAGTTTGTGTGACACTAGACACATGTCAACTGCGAAATCCATATCTTCCAAGATGGAGTCTTCTTATCGGTGGTCCAACGTATTCCTGTCTCATCGCACAGTCTCACGCATAATCTAGTCCACCACAAGTAAAAGGCCATAGCTTCATAATTTTTGGAAATGTTTAAAAAATCTAAAATGTACGCGTTTTGATAAAATTCTTCATGGGTACTTTCAAGAGATAAGGATTCAGTAAGTCTCCAGTAAGTAATGTTACTGTCACATCTGACAGACAGATAACATCAGGTCGAAATGAGAAGAACCACCTTACATTGTCGAGTTTCTGGTGATTTATTTAACTATTTCTATGTTCGAAACAAAAACTCATCTCTAAATCTTTTTGAAACAATTTTTATAGCCAGGGGTTCCACACACACACACACAAAGTGTTATTATCTACAAATTACTTTACTTACACAACTAAAGGTTGACTTTTAAATCGATAATTTTCAGCCAACTGTTCAAATCGATATTTTTCATCACTGGCATGTTGATCAATAATGAATAAATCGTTATGATGACGTGCAATAATAAAGCCAAGATTAAATTGTCCAAGTACTTGTAGGCTATTGAATGTTTCTTTTCTGTTAAAAAAAAATAAGAAAGAAGCATAAAAGAGAAAAAGAAAGCGAATTACATGATAGCGATAATGTGTAGTATTAACTTGACTTTTGAGTGGGACATAAACACACTCCTTGAAAAGCACAACTCCATTTCACTCTGTTCTCTGCAGTCGTCTTTATCCGGCACCAAGATCTCCTACCCAGATGACACACTACTACTGTAACAACAGAAGACAAGGGTCAGGCAACAGATCGTTTATTAAGGAAATCAAAGCATATTTATATATTTTCATGTACATTATTATAGTTTAGTTAAGCAAGCAAACACAGTCCTTTGATTGGTTGTTTCTCACTTAAAGGTAATCTTTCATCTCCTCTTTGTGGCCGTTTCTTGAATGTCACATCATCTATATGTTAACTATATCCGCCTACGCAAATTCTACTGTGGTTGGTTGTTGAATCAGTCTTTGTTCATATTTTCTCACGACAAATCTTGAGAACGTAAACATTGACGTCAATTACTGTCTACCAATTTGGCTAGTAGACAGCTCTCACCACACTACTAGTACTACTGTGGTGAAAGCTGACTGCTAGCCAGATTGGTAGTTAGTAATTTACGTCAATGTTTACTTCACCAATATTGGTCGTGAGAAAAATAAGAACAAAGACTGACTCAACCAACAACCAACCACCGCAGACTTTGCGTAGGTGGATACAGTTAACATATAGATGATCTGACATTCAAGAAAGGGCCACAAAGAGAGATGAAAGATCAAGTAACGTTCAGTGAGAAACAACCACCCAATCAGAAAACTGTGTTTTTCTGCTAACAAAAATCTATAATAATTAATTATAAATTATTTAAATTAATCCCAACGTGTTAAGAAAAGTGCAAAACAAGATCTGTTTTCTGAACGTTTCGCTGTATAAGCCACAGCTTCTTCAGTAGCAGATTTATTCGGATTTTTATTAATCATCAAAATATATAGTCAAAAATGTTTTACATAAATTGAAGTCAGTTTATTTGAAGGTCATTTGTCTATGGACATTTTTACCAATAGAAATATGTGACCGGTCATCACATATATTTGTAATGACTAATGTCAAATTGTTGTTGTGTTCACTCTTCTATAGTTAATTTGTACAGATTAGTTTTGTATGAGTGTGTGTATGTGTATGTATGTTATTTGTCATATGGAAAAAGGTGACACCATTTCGGAATTGATTAAAAATCGTTTATCTAAATGTATTAAACGCACTTTTCCTGCAGCTGACTTACAACTAGTTTTTACCAGCCGAAATATGATTAGACAATGCGTCAAGGATAGATTACCGCTTTTGTCCACATCCATGTGTATTTACTCTTTTACCTGCTCTTGTGGAGCTGTTTATATTGGACGTTGTAAGCGTGATCTCCGAAAACGTGTAGCTGAACACTATCCAGTTTGGTTAATGAAAGGCGAACGTAGAACTGCGAAGTCGTCTATCTGTGATCACCTGTTAGAGTCAGGTCATTTAGCCCCACGTGATTCATCTTTCAAAGTTATCTACATGGCAAAATCGAATCGATCCGAAAGTTTACGTTTTCTTCACTTATGCATAGCCGAAGCTTTAGCTAAACATGAACAGAAACCTAAATTATGTGTTCAAAAACGTTTTGTCAAACCCCTTTCTTTACCTTGGTCATAGTAATGTTCTTTCTAGTTTTTACTTTATTTTATTTTACCACTTGAATTCTTTCCACTTCACTTCAAATCTTCATTCTTATCGTAATCGTACTCTTAATTTTTTTAAAATTTTTAGACAACACTTGACATTTTTAAAACATTTTTGATTTCAATTCACTTATAAAACAATCTTTAATAATTTTGTAATTTATCCACTTCAACTCTACCCCTTATAACATTTTAATAATCGTTATTCTTATCACATATATGTATATTGACTGAGCAATTATTTAGTGCCACTTAATGACCTTTTCTGTAATATAAATACGACTGTACAGCTTGAAAATGAAGTCGTTGAAAAGAAATTTCTTCGCTGAACAAAAACTGTGTTTTTACATATGGAAAATACATGAATTCATATATGGTAAACATGATCCTATATGTTTTAAAAGGTCATGGAGGCTCATAGAGTGTTTATTGATTTTTTCATCTGTCTTGCTTCATAAGGACTTTGCCATATAGGTGATAAGCCTATCCCTTCTTTCCTATTCACTGCATTCGATGTGGTTAAGATGTGCAACTTATTCTGCACAAACCACACTGTTGTTCTTGCCTTTTTTTCAAATTCATTAAAGGAGGGGGGGGGGATAAATGTATGTATGAAGAAGAAGAAGAAGAAAGGCAGCAAGACCGAAAATCCGCTTACTTGAAATACATTGTCAATTCATTTTCTGCTTCTTTATCTTCTGTAGCCCGAAATTGTCCAAATGAAAAATTCCCTTCATCACAGTAGTCATTATTGGTATTATTATTATTATTCTGCTCATCAACATAACCGACAACATTATCCCTGGATGATTGATCGATTCCATGAGTAGATGACAATGCCTGTAGCAGTTCACTCCATCGATTACGTAAATCATCCATAGAAAAATTCACTTCCGTTGATTCTAAATGTATATTGCTGAACTGAAATTTGAAAAAAATATGCATCTAGCTGAATGACATTTAAATATGTGAGTAATGTTCAGTTAGACATGGCATGAGATATCAAAAAACATATAGCCCATTTGGGCAATTCAATATTTGGAAAAAAGAGGTTTAATTACCAGTGTGAAATATTCTTATACCATGAATTTTAAAAAAAATTGTCAAGTCTGGGTTATGTGGGATATTTCTGAGGGAAAACGGACAACTGAAGGAATTTACAAAGGCTAATATATATAGTTTATAATATTATTTTATAATGCTCACTAGCAACCTCCTTTACCGACCTACCTACCTACTTGGGAAGCATCGCTTCAACTACAGGCGGACGGAACTGATGAAGATATCAAAGCAGAGAGGATGAGGAAAGCAAGGCAAGCTTTCATTACTCTCAAGTCTGTGTGGACATCGATACTCACCAATGAGCATGAAAAATAAGATCCGGGTATTCAACTCTAATGTGAAATCAGTCAGTGCTACTATACGGATCAGAGACTTGGTGCCACGTCATGAAGAGCACTTCGAACAAACTACACACCTCAATCAACAGCTAACTATCTTTGCTCAATACTACTCAAGGTCAGATGACCAGCCAAAAAATATCAGCTACAAGGATCTCTGGCAGTGAACAGACCAAGTCAGCAGGAACCGATTGTGCAACAAATATTTGCAGGAAGAAATGGAGGTGGATTGACTGGCCATACTCTCAGAAAACAAGCCATCAAGTAAGTGACATCACACGTCAGGTCATTGCTCGAGTGGAACTCGACCGAATGGGAAGCGGAGAGTTGGTCGTCAAAGCGAGGGTGACATGGAGGAGGTTATGCGAAGAGAAGATAAAAGTGTGTAGGCAGAAGTGGAGCCATGTTAAAAAGTTGGCAGAGAACCCAGCGCAATGGAGACGTAAGGTTGAAGCTCTATGTTCCTCTAGGAGTTAAAGGAAACAATAATAGTTAGAATTCGTGGACTGGCCATTAGATCGGGTACCAGTGAATTAATGGTTTACCAGCTTGCTTTGCAAGCGGTAGGTTCTAGATCTCGTGGTGTAAGTGTGTACCGCTGAAGAGTCTCAAACCAGGCTGACAGAACAGCTGTCTAGTACTCCCTGGTGGCTTTCCAATGTCTAAACGAAGTCAGCTCGCGATGAAATCCTGTAACCAATAAAATCCCTGCAAACCAACACTGCAATAGTCGAAAACATGCGCTGACAATGATGGAGTAAAGACCACTATATTTTTGCATCTACAATTCAAGGAAGATTCTCCTACGGAGATTATATCCCAAAGTCTAAGTAGAGCGATAAAGAAGACATTATACTTTGAACATCTGTTCCTATCCTTCAGTAGCCGTCCAGTGTTCATTTCGAAATTGAAAGACGTCTTACCTAACCTTAGCTCCACTACATGCATATAATGTTTTAACAGTTTCTAAGGTTTAGGTTAAGTAAGGTGTAGTAATAGACAGGCTTGTCTACGGAATCGAGCTTTACTAGCTTAGGCAAAATCAAATGCCAAAAATGTTCGATTCTATCAACACTTGGTCGATACTGGACATCGCATTGACGCAAACACAAACTACCTTCGAGGTTATTATATACCACATTCCTAAGTCACTGTCACACACGGTTCACCTATGGATTCTACAATAGATAGCTGAAGCTGTTGCAATAAGATCAACTAGACTGGGGCTTTGCATCCAAAACGAACACGTCCAGACGCTGTTCCCACCGTGGCCAAAATTGGACTAATGATTCTTCTTCTCACCAAGAGTGCTTCTTCCCCTTAACCCTCTTGGTTTATTATTATTCGTCATAATTTATACCCTTCATGCAAACATTCACTCAATACTGTTGAAGTTTCTATTAATATAATCCGTACTTATTTTTAGTAATATTGTGGTGAGAGCTGTCTGCAAGCCAAAATTGCAAAGAACAATTTACGTCAATGTTTACGTCCCGAATCGGGGTCATCAGCAAAAAACAATAACAAAGCTTAACCTTGGGAAAATCACCAACCAGTCACAGCAGACTTAACGTGTGGAAATGCGATTCGCAGATATATGACTTAACTTTCTAAGAAACGGTCACAAATGCAGTACAGAATAGCCTTCAGAAGAAGTTTTTTCTCTGCTAACAATAAAGCTGATAATAATGTACATGAAAATCTATAAATATCTGTTGATTTTCCGAATAAACGATTTGTTGCCTGGCCACTGTCTTCTGTAGTTACAATATATGCCTCTACCTGTTTCATCTCACACATTAGTTATTTCATTATGAACCTCTCTCTCCTCCTCAATACATACCACTTTGTACTAGCCACTCATCTGAAACCTTTTATAACCTTGAGCTGACAACAAAGATCTCTTATTTCACAGCATTTCGTAATTAAATTTACGAATCAAGGACGTTTGTCACACAAATACTATGTATTTTGCCACCCTATAGGTACTAAAATGTTATTCTTGGTAAAGAATGTATCCGCCAAACTGTTTATTTTATTCCTTTACATCTCGAGTGGAACATGACGCTTCAATCTTCAGCTTTCGGGTTTCGGTAGCAGTGGTGTTGTTAGTCTTACACCCAATTTTCTCTCTTTACCAGCGCCTTACTACCAGGTTAATGAGGTTTAGGAGTGTGCCGGCCAGAGATCGAAACTCAGACCACATATACGTGGTTGGAAAGCATCCCACCGCTGAACCACCGACGCAGAATCCGCCGTATTACGACAGCAAATAGGATATTTTACAATTGTAGCAATCTGAAGGGAAGAATTTATTGAAAAGGATATTCTTCGTTCAGACTGACTTGAAATAAGAATTGGAACAAGGCAGGGGAGGTCATCCAACGCAGTGATAATAAGGAGAGGTGAACACAATGCCAATGAATCCAGTCCAGATTGAAATATCAGAGTTAAGTTTGTATAATAGGGTGACATGAGAATTACAGATACCATGCAGCTAATCGAAACTTAATAAAGTGAAGTAAAGTGGTGCATCATAACTCAATCACTGGTTGCTATCAAAGTACGTGTATCGATTTCGCAGGAATAGTGACGAACACTACATTGATCAAAGTGGGCGTCCTCTTCGACTCTGAGTCGAAAGACACGGCATGTCGACACAATAAAATTCACTATGGAAGTAGAGAATGAAATTGGGGAACTACCTATGTTAGACTGCAAAATACAAAGAATAACAGATGGTAGCATTAAAACAACGCTATATAGAAAAACCACAGACTCTGGAAGATTTCTTGATTATCACTCAGCTCATCCACTCTCGGTGAAACGAGGATTAATACAAGGACTTGCAGATAGAATACGTAGACTTACAACAACGCCAGAGGACCAATGTAAAGAAATAAATGTCCTATTCAAAATGCTACTCGAAAACAACTACCCAAAAGAATTTATAAAAGATAATATAAAAAAGAGAAAAAAGAGGGTAAATCGGAGAATAACAAGATGGAAGAATGCAAAAAGACAGTCACAATACCATATAAAAATGGTACATCAGAGGCAATTCAAAGAAACCTCAAAAATATCGGCATTCACACAACTTTCAAACCGACAAATCTAATCAAAAATAAAATAAATCAACTGAAAGATCCCATAAAAATGATGGATAAAAACAATTTGATTTACAAAATATCTTGTGCTGACTGTCCAACTAAATATGTGGGGCAAACATCCAGATGACTCAAAATAAGAGTGAATGAACATAAACGCCTAACCAAAGGTTAACCAACAGGAATACAAGCCTACAAAAATCTTGAAAAAAATTTATCGATAGCTGCACATGCATGGGACAAAAACCACAATATCGATTGGAACAATGTGTGTATTCTAAAAGCTAATATGAACAAATGGAAAGAAAGACTTATAACAGAATCTATATTCATTAAGGTCACACCGGATATATGTAACAAGGGTGACTCAGCAGCACAACTGCCAACAACCTGAAATATAATTCTGAATAAACAAAAAATGAATGAACAAAAAAATGAACTATATATTTATATGACTACAAATCATAAATGTGTGAACAAGGGCAGTGGTAATTTTGCTCGAAATATTACCAATAACAAAACTTATCATTGTGTGTAAACTGTTGAAATATAATTATACTTTATTTGATAAGACATGTACTCTCTTATATCGATGGATACCGATTTGACTAGGAAAATGTAAAAATTTTGGAGAGTGGAAACACCAAAAGTTATAACAGGGAACTCCTAGTAGTCTGGTGTACTCAGATGAACACCAGAGATTAACAGGCTAACTAACTAACTAACTACAGATCGAACTTATCAACTAATAAAGAATAAATCAAATGGAAAGAAAAATCAATAAAAACGATCAATACTTTTACAAATTAACAACCAACCACGACAAAGATTGTCAGGATATACAGTCATGAAAGAATTCAAAAAATAAATTCCGCTTCATATTGTAGTCAGTGCGTCTCCGTGGCACAATATATTAGAGTGTCTGGCTGTTAACTGAAAAATTGGCTGTTCGAGATCACCCAGCATCGCTGGGGGTTTTAGGTATCACTGACTGAATGATCTACGACTTCACCTTGAAACCAGAAGGTCATGGGATCGAACCCTGGTGGGTGTGTGCTGTTGAGGAGTTCCAAACTACAACGAAACAGCCGTTCAGTACTTCCCGGCTTACACTTCGGCTGTTCAGCAGGGAAATGCTCGCCAACCACCCACCCAGGTGGGCCGGGGTTCGATCCCCAGCCGATGAACTCCCAATCCTAGCTTAACTGGTAGCAAGCCCGTTGAAGAGGGAAGGCCGGGTGCGTATGGCTAGCCATTCCACTCCATAAAAAAAGAATATCACCACCGCTAGCTAAAAGATTCAAGCCATATGTTCCATTTAGAACGTAAAGAAATAAAAAAGACAAGAAATATTGTAGTCTACGCTGAAAATATCAGCTTGAAGGGAGATGTAAGCTTCGCAATCAAACGTCTCACTAAACAATGGCATCTCGATTACTTCCGGTCTAGAGTTAAAATTGAAAGTAAGTTCTACGATTTTGATACAACCACAGAAAATGCAAGTCAATGAAATTGTCGGAAAGTAGGGGGAAAAAAGATCGATTATACAGTTTAGATATCTAAGACTCTAATTAATCGTTACAAACACCAACTTTTTACACATTTCACATTGTTTCAATTTGTCTGTCTTTCAACAATATAATCTTCCAGTTGATAATGACAGACACAAGCGACTCGTGATAACTTGCCTGGGGTTACACTGTTACTGATGGGTGTACAGGACGGAGAGGAGAAATATTAGAGAATGTTGTCCAATTTTGAGTAATGAATAAAATAGGCAGGTTTGTTACTATTTATTATTATTCGCTTGAGTTCCGAGTATAGTATAGGGCATCAACACCATATCTCCATTTTTCCCTATTCTCTGTAGTCCTCTTCAGCTACTTCTACGACTACCTATGTGTAACCTTTCATCCTCACCATATCACAGTCGAAGTGACGTGAAACTCGTCGTTCTCCACTCGAACGTGCAGCTGATGTCTCCCAACGGTCTGCTCAACGTGTCTGTTATGACTCCTTTGCCAGTTTGTTATCACTGATACTGAATAGAATAAAGGCCGTCGCCACTTTGTTATGTCTGTGCCTGTAAATTACTATAACGATAATGAACTCGACTGGTACGCTACGCTAATACGTCTATTTGTCCGTTGTAGCTTCCGATTCACTGTGCCACGCAAATATCACAAAAGACAAAGGCTGGCCTGTGAATGTAAGACACTGTATTATACTGCACTATACTAGATAGTTTAAGAAAAACATGATAATTATACATTTTCTTAACCATAATAATGTCGGCTCCTGACCGTGGGAATGTATTGTTCCTATTGTTTGCATATATATATATATATATATATATATCCTGATACGTTGGTGATCAGACAAAGGTCAGACAACAGAAGATGAATTGGTCACACACTAAATCACAATGTGGCGTGTGTGATGATACATTCACATAGGAACCCCATCACATGATAAATCATATGATTCGTGAGAAAGGATGACACACTATTTTATGCTGGGTCGCATCAGTGTCCGATCCACCCATCTCCATTATCTTGAGCACATTTGTTGAGTAATTCGCCCTTATTTTTTTTGATGAAGTTGTGTTGTCTGAGATAACTGGATGGTTAATTTGAGAAGCTTTCATTGCCTTACTTACTTACTAGGCAACATCTTCCTTCAGAGAATACTTCAATTTGAATTGAAGTGAGCTTCTTAGATTTCTCCACGAGTTCACTATTAGTCATCTCTCCTGATGGGTGGTGAGCCTGAACGTTGTGATTGGTTGTTCCCGTATGTTTCCACACCCTCTAGGCTACCTGTGGTATTGGTACTGATTGTTTCCTTGACCTGAAGTTTGACCCTTTGTGTATGGGATTTCCTTCTTATCGGTTGGTAAATTTTGTCTATCTCGATGTGTCTATTAATTGACGATTCACTGGAATACCAGGCTTCTATAAAAATTCTCAGGCATTCTTGGTGTTTTCTCTGTCTAATATATGAACACTGTCCCATAGGAAGTAACAAGAATGCCAGGGAACTATTTTAGAAGCCTGGTATTCCAGTGAATCGTCAATTAATAGACACATCGAGATAGACAAAATTTACCAACCGATAAGAAGGAAATCCCATACACAAAGGGTCAAACTTCAGGTCAAGGAAACAATCAGTACCAATACCACAGGTAGCCTAGAGGGTGTGGAAACATACGGGAACAACCAATCACAACGTTCAGGCTCACCACCCATCAGGAGAGATGACTAATAGTGAACTCGTGGAGAAATCTAAGAAGCTCACTTCAATTAAAAATGAAGTATGCACTGAAAATGTTGTCTAGTAGGTAGGGGGCAATGACAGCTTCGCAAATCAACTATCCAGTCAGCTCAGAGAACACAACCACATCAAAATCATCCACCTAAGCTGCAAATATCTTCTCTATCATATCTAAATTAGCTCTTAATTAGTTCTTTACCAGAGTTTCCTGTTGCAAATTCTTTCTGGAACCGTAGAATGCAGTTGTCGATGAAAGTCTGCAATAACCTGTTAGGAGTGCTTTCAGTAACGCGTTTGCCAAGTTTCTGGCAGCCTTAACCTACACCAAAGGTTTGTGTATGTCACTGAATTTTTATTGATACCTTGTGATAACTATTAATCACAAAACTTTTCAATGCATGTGGTCGTACGAACTATACATATATATGTATAAATAGCAGCGAAATTTCTTATTATTAGCCTGTTTCTTACAGAAATATATCTTGCCTTCCCAATATGCGAATCGTATCAGTCACATGCTGTCGTGGGTGCTGAAGTACACTGTAATGTATGTCAACTAACAATAAACTAATTAGTTGGCAACTAGTCAGTCAACCCGACGAAGACCCGTATCAAATATAACCAAGTTAACATCACTTGGGTGCTATTTTAATCGAAAATATCTAGGGAAGGCATTAATAACCGTAGCGATACAGATACACTATGACTGACTGTTTTCAACACAGAACTTTGCACCGACGTGAAGCACATCAAGTCGCCACACTTCCTCCATGTAGCACACAAAGCAAGAGAAGCAAGTAGAAGAAATGCAAAATAAAGTAAGTAAACAGGGATATGAGACAAAAGGAATAGTAATAACGAAGAACAATATAGTTTCATTGGATATTATAAGTCACAAGGAGTGGATGCATCTGCATCAGCCATTGGGAACGAGAAGTTTGAGCCATATCACTGATTGTTTCCAGCCACTGGTTTTTACCGTCCCGAGGACCCCCAACCAGTCAGGAAGTTTACACCTCCCTACGTGGCTGGCTTAAACTAGCTGTTGTGGATTTCATTGACTGATGCCTCCATGTTATGGTTTGACCACCACTGGCTAGCTCTTTTCCAACCTGATCCTATGTCAGCTAACATTGCCCGCCGAGGAAGGCGATGGTTAGGCAGGCAAGCGTAACACATGTAATAACGATCTGAGAAGTAGTATAAATTATAATTTTCAAGAGTTTGTCTGTACGGGGGATTTGATTGGCTTCAAGTTTGATCACTGATTGATATCAGTTAGAAAGCCAGCGAAAGCCATAGTATACTGGATAGCTGTTTCGTCCCTGTCTGGGAATCCTCATCAGGTCGTATCCAAGATTTCTGGTTACAAGGCAAGCTCGTATACCAGTTAGTCACTGGAACGGGATCCAATGGTCTACCAATTTTAACTACTGACGTTTCGTGACTTTACTCTCCACCAACTGACAATGTTGTCGACGTGTATCTGTCCTCACACCCGACTTGGTGAACCACGCTAGTCATGGTGCGTCGGTGGCACAGCGGTTAGGGGGCTCGTCGACCATGCACATGCTCCAGGGTTCGATCCCTGGCCGAAGCACTCCTTCACCTCGCTAAGCCAGTAATAAGACTGGTAAAGAGAAAAAGTTGGGCAAGAGGCTAGCAACCCCATCCTGTAAAAATAAACACCACAGCTACAGAAACTTTAAGCTTCTAGCTTGAAGCCCTATGTTCCACTGGGAACGTGAAGGAATAAAAAAACGCTGGTCATGACTTCTAATTGGAACTAGTGGAAAGTTGTACGAAATATCGCGAATTGGTAAGGTAAGGTAAAAATTCATGGACTGGTCTTTAAGTAGGATCCCAGTGATTGAATGGTTCAAACAGATTGTCATGTTACCGGAAGTTCCTAGATTCGACACCCGATGGGTGCGTACTGATGAACAGTCCCAAACTAGGCTGACGAAACACCTGCCAAGTACTCCCTGGTATTTAATGGTTCTCTAACTTATATCAATCCGTGATTAAACTTGAAAAAATCATAATAACACAATGGGAACAGAGAACTCTGACAACAAACTAATCAATAACCCATTACCCAACAAAATAAACTGAAGGAAATGAAAATGGATCGAAAACATCCTGAATGGATCACTGAACGACATCACACGCCAGATATGAATGAGAAACGATGAGTTGGATGTCCGAAGGTGATAAGGAGAGGAGACGAAAACGCATGGGTAATCGTGGACTACAGGGAACCACTGGGAACCAAAAGGAATAATTATAATAAACAATGATGCCAAAAATAACAATGAAGACAACTCACATATATCTGATCCTCCATATTGTCAATTTCATCACAATTTTCTACATCACCTTCTTGGGAATCAACTGGTTGACTACTTTCCAAGGGGATATTTTCTTCTCTGGATTGACGTATAGATGTTTCAGGCGTAAGATTTATTATTTCTATCTGTGCTGACTGTATATCTTCAGAATAGTGTGCTGATAAAATGACCAATAGAGAAATAAACAAAAGGAAATATTATTATTATTATTAAATTACAAACTCAATACATTATGGGCACCATCAAGTGCACAACACACAAAACTTCATAGATTATGCTAGGACTGGGTTACTATCCGGACTCCCAGGAGAAATTAGGTAGTTGTCTCAAAGGGTTAACCCTCTCACAAAGGACCATTGATCCACGAGGGAGAGGAGCACCGTTAGGAATTGCGTTTCCATGGTTTCCGGTGACTAAAACAGGTTCATACGCACCACTCGATCCTATCAGTTTCTGGTGCTCATGTGTACACCACAAGGTTTAGAATCACAGTCTTCACAAGCTCTTCTAAGTAGACCTGAATTTCTGTCAGTCCAGCTTTCTTCGATCATTAGTATCTGCTTTCTATCGTCCGTGTTAGATGGTATAATAGGGTAAGGAATATTGAGGTGAGGCATCGATCGAGAGCTAGGTAAGGAGGGGAAATCAATCGACGAGGCTGTGAAGCTACATCGACTGAGATGGTTAGGACATGTGTTACTATGAATAACTAGCCATCCCCTTCGTCGGTGGGCGATGTTAGCTGACATAAGGTCAGGCTGGAGAAGAGCTAGCGGCGATCAAACCAAAACATCGCCTCATCAGTCAATGAAATCCACAACAGTTAGTTTAAGCCAGCCACCACGTGGGAAGGTGTAGACTGGCTTGCTGGTTGGGGTCCTAGGGACGGTAAAAACCAATGGGTGCAACAATTGGTGATATGGCTCAAAATCGTTCTCGACGGCGCAGATGCATTCACTCCTTGTGACTTATAATATCCAATGAAACTATAATGTTTTTCGTTATTACTACTCTTTTTGCTTCATATCACTGTCTACTGTCTCTATTCTAAAAAAGAGACTTAATACTCTAGCCATTAATTCAGAGATATTTTTTATAAGTGATAGAGTTAATTTTCTTATGATCTTTGATGATTGTTTCTTGTTGGTGTTACCACTTGACCTTCAACACTTTTTGAAGATCGATAGACATGTAAATTAACGACCAATCACGACAAAGGTTGTCCGTAGGGAGGTACAATTAAATCATCGTACATGGAAGGAGAATTCAATTAAGTTCATTTTATACTTGCATCTGCGTTGAAGGGATGTTGTTTAGAAGGAGGACAACAACCAGCTCAGAGAACACAACTAAATGAAAACGAATAATAAATAGATAAAACTATATACTACTGATTAATCTATATGAGTAGCTGTATACAACTATCACTAACATCACAACCATCAGTGCTTGCTAGTCAGATTCAAGTGATTTAAACACCAGACAGTCAGTCGTTCATCTGTATCTCTTTCTGTGAGTTAAATCATACCTCACACACTGGTGATATGACAGCTCGACCTAGAACGAATGAAACAGCCGTCCGAGGTTACGATCACTTCTACTATCTGGTTGACCTGCCTAGCAAACACTACTAGTAGATGTACGCCACCTACAACTACTCATCTCGATCACCAATCAGTAGTATATAGTTATACATTTTAAAACAAAACCACAAAAAAGGATGAATTACCTCTTTTAGTTGATGATACACCATTATCTGATAGAGTAGATTGACGTGGATACGTTGGAGTAGAAAACTGAAAACATGAGAAAGGGTAAGATGATAAAATAAACAATAAATTGTATGATTGGTTACTGGATTTCATGATGATCTGACATCGATTAGAGAACCATTGGAAAACCAGCCACAGGGTGTACTGCCAGACAGTTGTATCGTCAGCCTAGTCTGTGACTCTTCATCAAGACGCACCCACCAGGGTTCTCTAACCGGTGTCAGCTCATGACGAAATCCAGTAACCAATGAATCGAAACCCCACTAACCAATACATGGTAATAAATTGTATTTTAAATTTTTTTTCGTTTTTAATAAAAGTTGATAATATATACAAGTCGGATTGCGATTATCATTACTATTATTTTTCGGATAAGTTCCGTAGCCACCTCCACGACGTCAAACATTTCGATCACAAGAACTATTGACCATGAGAGACGTCATCATAAATAGATCTTTCTACAAACAACAATAATAATAATCATAAGAAATCAATAAAGAGTTGAGAGGTGAGAAAATATACTTAGGTCAAGTTGAAAGGACATATTGAAAGTCGAAATAACAATGAAAACCACTAAACCAAATAACAGAGGTAATAGTACATCTGCTATGGCTAGTATCAAAATAAAATTTACCAAGGAAGGTTTAATGTGATGACGAACGGTTTTTGAACGCATAAAGGGGCCAGGGCTTCCACAAACTTTACGATACCCACTCCCCTAACACGTTTTATAGATAGGTTTAAAAGATCTGTTAACGTCAATTTTATATCCTGTCTCTATAATATGTTTCGCAATAGAGGAGCTAGGTCTCCTGTGTTCACCATTAATGGGTTCTGATACCATAGCAGATGTACTATTACCTCTCCTATTTGGTTTAATGGTCTTCATTGTTATTTCGACCTTGACTATGTCGTTTTAACTTGACCTAAATTGTCTATTTTCTCACCTCCTAACTCTTTAATAATTTCATATATATTCCTATGAAAAGTCCGTGGAGTGTGATCAGATTGTTCGAAATGTGCAGTGCGTGCAAATACAACACTACACGATTCAGACAAATTACGTCTTCTTATTGCTTTATCTAAATTCATAAAGGGAACTAATTGTTTTAAAAATAACCATAAGGTCAATGGCAAATGTGCCAATTTGTATGCCAAAATATAACAGATGGACTGACTGGTTTCAATATAGGACTTTGCAAAAAAATGAGGCCATTGCCAAACTCCATCTCCATGCAGAACATACAGGCAGATAAAAGATATTCAAAAGGACTACATAATGATCAGAAATGTGTGGGAGAAAGAATAGTAACTATGGGAAAATAGTTCAGCGGATCGCAAAGTGAATGTATCTGCAGCATCATCAGCAGTCTCCAGCTACTTTGGGTCTTAGCATCCCGAGAATACCAGTCATGTGGTTTACACATTCCTACGTAAATCGAACCAACTAGCAAAGATTTCATGAAGTGATGCCAGGTTTCGGTGTAACTAACTTAATTTTTTTGTCACTCTAATCGTCGGTCGACCCGTTTTTTGGAAGGTGATGGTTCGGTACACGCAACGCGTGTCCTAGCCTACTCAATCAATTTATTAGCTTCATATCGATTTAGATGGTGATGATTTACTCGAACGATCGAACACTAACCCAAATGGTTGAGATACAAAAACAAAAGCACCCGAAAATTCGATTACGAAGCACCTCCCTGGTTGATTGATTTTATTCCATTACGTTCCAAGTGGAATATAGAGCTTCAAGTTTCGGTAGCAGTAGTTTTATTTTTACAGGGTGGGGTTGCTAGTTTTATGCCCAACCACCTTTCTTAACCCATTTCACTGCCAGCTTAGTGAAGTTTAGGAGTGCGTCAGCCACAGATCGAACCCGGCGTGGTTGGTGAACCCTCTACCACGATACCACCGACGCACCACCTTAACTACGAGTCTAATATTGACGTTTTCAGGACGTGTCTTATCGTCAGTAGATAAACAAGCAAAAAAAGACTAGCAATAACAAAGATGTATGTTCGCTTAGGGTCTACACATTAGGCCTTCGTATGAGGAAGGTAATGGCAGTTCTATTAGAATATGCTGATATGATAGTATTTTTCAACGTCTTGATCGTCATCATTACTATTATTATTGTTCATTTTGCGATACGATTCATTGATGTTTGTCTCTGTTTTTCATATTTTGTGAGTTATATCAAACTATAATTGAATTGGTGGGTGGTGACTAGCAGTGGAATCCAGGATACCGCGCATATCGTCCTATTCGGGACTCGTCAACTGGATGTACTTGCATTCCGCAGTGGGTGATGATGTTCCCACCGAGGCTCGAACCCAGTGGCCATAGTTTCAAACGCCAAAGCGTTATCCACTAGACCACGTGGGCCAGGAGAGCCTCGGTGGGAAAATCGTCGCTCACTGGGGAATACAGGTACATCCAGCTGAAGGACGAGTCCCAAATAGGACGAAATGCGGATCCTGACTGGATTCCACTGCCGCTAGTCACCATCCACCAATTAAATTCGAATTACATGCCCAGACATTGTCGAAGCATCTGCACAAGAAGCCAACAGACATGCCAACCTGAGACCGAGCACTTCGGTCCAATCAATCAATGGATGGGAAAATCTAAAATTCAATTAAAATATATCAAACTATGATAACTGATACACTTAAGTGAGGAGATGAAGATCCAATACATTAATTTACCAATAGAGTAACAAATTGTGGACGATTTGATCAACTCCATTACTACTACACTTTTAATAAAACGGCACTTAACCGACATAAATGTCCTTGTACAGTTGAGATTGAGTAGATTCCAGTCGCGGCTCACTAGAAATGTTTTGATATAAGCAAATGTTTACAGCCTGTTTACATCATATAAGTAGGACAGTTAAGATAGAGGAAAAAACACATGCGATGCAAAATCCCACCAGCTCCGGCGAGGCGGATTCGAACCACCTACCTAAGGATCACTGCACCAATATACATATGACTAGTTAAAACTCACTGGCTAATAGCCATACTTATTGTGTGTAGCCTGATGGATAATGCCTGGTTGCTTTCGCTTGTGGGTAGGTTAAGAAAGATTCGAAATCGGGAGACCTATTGACCTAAAGATGAGTCCCAACAGATACGTGGCGGTTGGGCTCGTATATTTCAATAACCCAGCCAGCTACACCGGTTGAAACTAATTTACCTATGGGTCCTGCCTACCATATCAGATAAGTCGCCAGGATAGCAGTTACACAAAAAGCAGTTACCATCATAGTGTAAATTGTTTACAGTATGTTGGGTGTCTATGGGCTAAGTCGTACACTTCCGGATGTAACAGCAGTAAAGTAGATCTCTCAGACAAGCAACAAGATAGTCATTATTCTGCCTTTAAACTTTGGAGAGGAGGGGAGGGTTAGAAAAGATCAAAAATTAAAAATCTTGTTTTACCTTGCAGTGATCCTTAGCCGGGAATATAATCTTAACATGGACAAAGCTTCAAAAACCACTTTAAATAGACCATATTTGTGTCCGGCTTCAAGCAGTTCCCCCCTGGGCTCTATCTTCATGAAACATACTTATGCTACTTCTATTTCAGTTACTTCAAGAAAAATATACTTTCATAGTTTGCGGGGGTGAGACTGGGAACTAAAGACCACCCACACACACGCGCTGCCAAAAGAATAATTCGAGAAGTGTATCTTTTTTGGGAGGGGCTGGCGAACCCCCACTTCTCCATCCTACTGTGTTATAATTTTTTTCAAATTTAAATCCTTCGCATTCCGAATGGAATATAGGTCTTCAAATCGTTGAGCTTTGAAGGTTCAGAAGCAGTTGTGCTCATTTTTAACGGGATGAAGTTTCTGGCCTTACAGCACCCAACTTTTCCTGGACACTGGGCTTATTACTGATTAAGCAAGATTAGGGAATGTGTCAGTGGGGGATCAAACTCCGGACCACCTAAGGAGCGGTTGGTGAGTATTCTACATCTGAACAACCACTAGGCTACGAAGGTCATCCGTGCACTATTAAATGAGAATTACACACAAACGCACACATACACCACATCATATAAGTAGGACAGCTAAGATAAGCAAAAAACACATGAGACAACTCACAGAGACTTCCTGAGAGCCACCGAAGACACTATCACCGCCAACATCATCATCTTCACAATCATTCCCAGCATGACTATTCGTCATTGTTACAATCTGTGATTCATTGAGATTTAATCTTGACTGTGATAGACTATCGATATCCATTCCAATAGAATTAAATAAAGTCTTGACAAGTACTGCTTTAGCTAATGCCAGAACATAATTCTCATGATGTAATAATAGAGTCCTTTTGTCTGGAGTTAAATTTATATCAACAGTTTCTAAATAAGGAAAATGGGGGGAGAGAGAGAGAAAAAAAGAAAATGGAAGGGAATTAGATGAAGGGGTGGGCAAAAATGTTAAACGAATCATATTAGATATCAAGTCTCACCAATAACTCCTAACTTGACGTGGTGGTCGGGCTAGCATATCGCAATGACCTGACAAGCTACACAGGCTAGAATTAATGTTCCTGAAGGTTCTAGATTGTCATAAAGATCGTCAGGAGATCTGTTAGACTAGAAGCAGTTGTCGGGATTCTGTAAGGTATTTACATTACGGTGGGGGGTCTGTGGGTACTTCCAGGGAACAGGGATGTAACAGCAGTGAGGCGTGTTTCTCTCAGATGACTACCGTGTCGGGTATGCTGTCTTTCCATTGTAAAGAGAAAGGTTAGAAAAGGTTGACTTCAAACAGTGTACACCTCTGTTTGACGAAGTTTCATTCATACTGCGATTCACAAATGTATTTTTTTACTTTTTATTTTGATTACAGCTTGATGCCACATCGTATTTTCAGTACAAGTATGGAATTTTCAGCATGGATATCGGTAGTCCAAATTTCGCAAGCCGACCATAGATATCGGGTGTGCGTCGGTAGGGTAACGAACTCCGGACCATGTGCATGGTCGGCGAGAGTCCTAACCACTGTGCCACCGCCGCACATGAATTCATGGAAAATCCTCATTCGAACATTAACAGACAGAAGTCCAGTAGTTCAGTGAAAAGTCTCTTTTTGGCGGCGAATTCATTTTCATAGCTGTACAATCGCAAATACATATATATGGTTGTTTTGTATATGTGTGTGTGTTCATTAAATTTGCCAGTTTACAATTACTAACTTCAAATGAATTGGATGCTGATATAAGAGGGTAGTAGTAACAAAAGTGGTGACTTGTCACAAACGATTGTTAAAGAAGAGTTACGTAATAACATGAATAGTTTGATGAAAGAGTTGTGCTCAGGGTGTACATGGAAACAAAATAAAATACGGAATTACGCAAGGGTTTCAAGTAGTTAGAAAAGTAAGCATTCAAGCTGATTAGCAGAAGCCCAAAGGATAAGATCCCGCACCTGACCACTTCTATGTTCACCTGTTTCTGTGGAGCCAGGTACATCGGTCGTTCGACGCGCATCCTGTCAAAAAGGGTCAAAGAACACTATCCAGAGTGTCTGCAAAAAGAATGTAGTGGCCGTTTAAGGAGTGCAGTAATTGAGCATCTTGTCAAACAACACTGGTCATTCCATCTCAACAAAGCCTTCTCCTTCAAAGTGAGGAACAACCTGCTAATGGCAATACGTTTACATCTTCTTTACATTGAAGAAGCCTTAGTCACTCAGTTAGAAGAACCAGAACTATGCATACAAAAGAAAATTATTCAACCACTTCTACTCCCATGGTAACAACTCCGTTGATTTGACTTAACTTTTGTTTGTATGTTTAGCTTTCTAACTACTTAAAACCCATGTGTAATTCCGTGTGTTATTTTGTTTCCATGTACACCCTGAGCACAACTCCTTCATCAAACTATTCACACCATCACGCAACTCTTATTTAACAATCATTTATGACGACAACTTTTGTTACTACTACCCTCTTATATCAACATCCTATTCACCTGAACTTACTAATTGTATTTTCGTTTTGACAAATTTAATGTTCACACACACATACAAAACAACCATATATATGTATTTGCGATTGTACAGCTATGAAAATGAATTCGCCGCTGAAAAGAGACTCTTCTCTGAACTACTGGCCTTCTGTCTATTAACATTCTTTTTGTTGCTATATATATATATATATATATATATATCCGGATACGATTAGCAGACATACGGCCTAACTTTCTAAGAAACGGTCACAAGCGCAGTACGGAATAACCTTCGGCAAGAAAACAACCAATCAGAAGACGCTGTTCCTCTGCTAATAATAACGAATAATTATGTACATAAAAATATATATCTGTTGGTTTTCTCAATAAACGATTTATTTCCTGGCTCTTGTCTTCTGTCGTTACAGTATCAATGAGCAATTGAATTTGAACATACACCCTAATAAAAAAATACTCATCAACCTGAAAGATTTCAATATTAATACCATGATTCACGGCAACAAAAGAGCACTTCCACTCCACTACCCCTCCCCTCAACTTACTTGTAGGCATAGTTAACATTAATACAAGTACTGGAAATGAAGCATATGTACTCCGATTAGGTAAACTTATCCCAGAGGTGATTGATGAATAAGCTTCTCGAGAACAACGACGCCATAGATCTGTAGCTAAACGTGTTAACTTTGGGAGATCACATGGTCGACCATTGACATAAATAAATTGCCTTTCCGATGAAGAATGACCACAGACAGATGAAGTACGACGTTTTCCGCTTGATGACGATAACGATGATGACAGTGTCAAGGAGGAATTCATCACTGGTGATGATAGATCAGATGATAAGAGATTTGGAGGTTTACTCACATATCCGGATATCCTAGCAAAACAAAAATGAGATATATAATGCATACATAGATACACTAAATCAAACGACGATAAAATAAACTGTAGAAAGAAAAGGTATCTGAGTGACTACTAACATACGGATACAGGGGGCTAGTTTCGCATATGCCAGTTTACACCGTCTCTGGCGTGGACGTGATATCCGGCTATCGACTGAAGGGCGGGTGTACTGCTCATCAGTCCGCTCCGTCTTCCTTAATCACTGTGAGTGAGACCCGGCCATTGAGAGTGGAAGACATGAAAAGATTAGCTATCTTCGATCATAGGTGCCTGCGTTCTATCTCGCGTGTTAGATGGTATAATAAGGTGAGCAATATTGAGGTTAGACATCAGTCGAGTGCTAGGTAGGTGGGAGGGAAAATCAATAGACGAGGCTGTGAAGTGACACCGACTGAGATGATTAGGACATGTGTTACGTATGCCAAGTCATCACCTTCCTCGACATAGGATCAGGGTCAGACTGGAAAAGAGCTAGCGGCGATCAAACCAAAACATCGCTTCATTAGTCAATGGAATCCACAACAGTTAGTTTAAGCGAGCCACGTAGGAAGATGTAGACTTCCTGACTGGTTGGGTTCCTCGGGACGGTAACAACCAATGGTTGGAAACAATTGGTGACATGGCTCAAAATCGTCCTCAATGGCTGGTGCAGATGCATCCACTCCTTGTGACTTATTATACCCAATGAAACTATATTGTTCTTCGATATTAATATTCCTTTTGTTTCATATCCCTGTCTACTGTCTCTATTCTACATTTCTTCTACTTTCTTCTCTTGATTTGTGTGCTACATGGAGGGAGTGTGGCGACTTCAACTGCTGCACATCGGTGCAAAGTCCTATGTCGAAAACAGACAGATAGACATAAAAACATCAAATAGCATTGTGCAGATACATGAGAGACGTGAAAGAAACACAAAGAAAGACAATTTGAAGTCCAGAAGTGTCACAACACGAAGATCTGTGCAAATGGCACGTTGAAGACAAATTGTGCAGAATTTGGCTACATATAGAGATACCAATCCCCAAATAAACATTCCTTCACCAAGTCTGTCGTCGTCTACCGTTTCAGTATATCTCCTCACTTCAATAAACTTTTCATTCGGTCACCCTAAAAAGTTTAGTTCATACAACAGTGGATTATGATGCTGGAAGGTTGACTGAAAATCAGCGTTGTGATAACATTTGATTAAAGAGCCAGCCAGTGGATCTGAAATAACGAACCCAACGCTCTACACAGTAGGCTATAAGACCCACCTGGTTTGGCAGGTAGTGATCATCATTTCACTGCAGTCAGGCATAACTTTGTGCTTCAGTTATTACTGCCTCTAACACAGTCACCGCATAACCTTCAGACATTGACACTGTTGAGATTTCATAAAATTCCCTTGTAAATAACATTTTTATTATTTTTTTTATTACAGCTTGATTCCACACCGTAGTTTTTGGTACAAGTATGGAATTTTCAGCATGTGATATCGGTAGCCCAAATTTTGCAGGCCGACCATAGATATCAGGTGTGCGTCGACAGGGGGTCGAACCCCGAACCATGTGCATGGTCGGCGAGAGTCATAACCGCTGTGCTACCAACGCATAAACCGATATCAATCAAAGAATCACTGGGAACACATGACTGATTTCACACCAGTTTGGAACTCTCCAGTTTTTCACCCAGCTCTCCAATGGACCTACCACCAGTGGTCGAACCAAAGATCTTCAGACTACACATGAATTCTAATATGGTTTATAGAACAGATATAATCGGTTTGTGGTAGCGCGTATGGGAGCAGTTGCCGTCTTATATCATAACATTGCTTCCAGTCTTTCGTCGTGCCTTCCTAGACTATACATCTGCTTTGGACTCGGTCCCTAGGGACATCTTATTAAATAAACTTGCTGCAAGTCAAACAGAATGTTGGGCTGTTAAGTGGTTACATTCTTATTTCTCAGAAAGAAAGCAGTACACCGTGTATAAAGGGAAGTCTTCCACTTCGTTGCCTACTGAAGCTGGTGTCCCTCAGGGCGCTGTCCTTTCTCCTTTTCTTTTTTCTTTCTTCTTACATGACTTGCCTCAGTCTGATGAAATAAACTTTGTGAAGTACGCTGATGATTTAACTGTTTCAATGGCTGTTAACTCCCAGCTAGATTGTACCAAAATAAATAGCTTTCTGTCGGGAGTCAGTAAATGGTCTGAGCCTAACGGTCTTAAACTGAATCCTTCTAAATGTCAAACTGCTAATTTCAGCTTTAGATGTAAACGACAGTTAAAAGTAGCCGTCGATTCTCATGAAAGTTGTAAAATTGATGACAATGATATAGGAATTAAATCAGAAATTAAGTATCTTGAACTTACTCTCTCTTCTGATCTCTCCTGGTCTTCCCATGTCTCAGCGATCTCCAGTAAAATATTCCGCCTGACATTTTACATTAAGAAGTTAAGGCACTCGGGTATAACTGAACCCCTCCTCTTACAGTTCATAAACTCTTGTATCCTACCAGTTCTTCTATATTGTTCACCCTTATTCTTTCCTGGTTTGCTTAAAAAGGACTTTGTCACAATTCGTAGAATGCTGAAGACTGTCAGTAGGGTGAGTGGTGTCCCAGGGGACCACATAGTTAACGTCGTTGTCGATAGGCACTTGACTTCGTGCAATAAATTTGCTAAAGGGATTTTGTCTGACTTGGAGCATCCACTTCATCCTCAGCTTTCACCTTGCATCTCCTCAGGTAGAACAAGAAGTAACTTCAGAAAACTGTATGCTCGCACATCTAAGTATAAAAATTCTATGATCCCATACTTGGCACGTATTTTATGTGATGAAAATAGCGTCAGGTAAGAATTGACTAACCTTTTTTCATCTAGTAAATAAACAATCTCCTCCATCCATCTTCATATACCTTCAAGTTTTACTTTTATTATTTCTATTATATTTATGGTCCTGTTGCTTCTTTGTTTTGCTTTCATAATTGCAAACACCAACTTATCTCTATGACTGCTGTAATCTTTGTTTCTCTCCTCAGCATATCATGTAAAGAGAACATTATATTCAATATTTTTAATCATGCTAGGATTTGTATACCGCATCGACAATACTGTGTGAAACAAGCCCACGGCAATTTTCACTTGTATTATTATCATCATTATCTTAGCTGCTATCATTATTATTATTTCCATTTTATATGCTGCATGTTTGTGACATTACCCCTGTTGTAAATGTAGAAAAATTTACTGTGATTAATTTTTATCCATAATTTGAGGAAAGTAGATGCAAGATGTTGTGCTTAATGCTGAAAATTCCATTCTGTATCACAAGTACTGTTTTTGGAACAAAGTAAATTATTATTATTATTAACCCCCTGGAATATTGAATAATTTTATAAATCAATACTAGTGAATACGCAAAAACATGCTTCTTTTGTTACTAGAATATGCTAACCTGATAGAATTTTGATCAGACGACCGATTGATATCGAACTCTTCACATATATCATCTGGGATGGTATCGATTTCTTCCAATTCCATAAGACTATTCAACTGTAAAAATAAACAAAGGACAGAATATATATTTTTTTAAATATAAACTTATCATAACAGATTCGGCACCATGTACATACGTCAATATAAAATGATGTATTGTAATATTGTTATCATCATCATCGTCACACTAAGTCGGTGGTTCAATGGGAGAATGCTTGCCAACTACGATGCTGCAAGTGGTCCGGGTCCCATTCCCAGTTGAAGCACTGGCCAACTGACTGACTGGTTACAACATACAACTTTGCACATATGTGCAGCAGTTTGAGTTACCACACTCTCTCCATTTAGCTCACAAAACAAGAGGAGAGGTTCAAAAGAGTGATAGATAGCAAGGAGAAGAGGGAGGGAGGGAAAAAGAATAGTAATGTGGAAGAACAATAGAGCCTTATTGGATATGAAATATCACAAAGAGTGGATGCATCTGTGACAGCCATTGAGAATGAGGATTTTGAGCCATATCACCAATTGTCTCCAGCCTTCATTGGTTTTTACTATCCCCGGGACTCCAACCAGCTAGGAAGTCTACACCTTCCTACGTGGCTGGCAAAAATAACTGTTGTGGACTTCATAGACGGATGAAGTGATGTTTTGGTTTGACCGCCGGTAGCTATTTTCCAACCTAACCCTATGTCAGCTAACATTGCCCATTGTCGAGGAATGCGATGGCTAGTCACGCATGCGTCACACATGTCTTCATCATATCAATCGATGTAACTTTACAGCTTCGTCTATTGTTTTCCCCTCCACTTACCTAGCACTCGACGCTTACCTCAATATTGCTCACCTTATTACACCAGTACTTAGCAAGGGAGACAGAACGCATGCATATATGATTAAAGACAGCTAGACAGCCTTTTCATGTCTTCCACTCTCAATGGCCAGGTTTCACAGCCATAAAGGAGGACGGAGTGGACTGCTGAGCAGTACACACGCCCTTTAGTCGATAGCCAGCCGGATATCACGTCTACTAAGCCAGAGACGGCGTAAACTGGCATATGCGAAACGAGTCTTCTGTATCCTTGTTGAGATTTCGTCAGTGATCAACCCGTTGGTATTGGTTGATGGTACTTCCCAAATATGTCAAGTAGTTAACGTGTTCTACCACTTCACTTCCTATTTCTAAGCTAGTAGTCAATGTAGTCCAGTAATGTAACGTCATCTTACATTTGGCGGGAGCGAATCGAACGCCAAGTATTAGCAGATTGCAGCTCAAGGTGTTCAAAAGATTTTGCATTCTATCAGCGTCTTCACCCAGGAGGACTATATCATCTGTATATTCTAAGTCAACGAGATTATCCCCTGGCAACTAGTCAATCCCTAAGTCTCTGAAGTGAGTTAGGGTTAATTCCATTAGTACATGTATGATGAAATTAAATAGAAATAGGGACAGTGAGCATCCCTGAGGGACACCACTAGTTGTCACCAATTCAGATGACAACTTGCCGTAAGCCCTCACCTGGCTGCATGAGTTCGAGTAGAGTGAGTGCCTTGATCAGTGAAATGTATTTTCTCGGCATTCCCTTTACAGCCAAGCATCGCCAGAGAACCTCTCGGTCGATAGAATCGAATCCCGCCTTTGGGTCAAGAAATATAACGATTGTTGGACGCCCACGGTAAGAATGCCTATGTTCTGGAATCAGTCGAAGAATGAAGATATGATCAATACACCCTCTTCCTGGCCTAAAACGTGTCTGGTTCTCTCGTGTTTGTTCCTCCCGTGGCCCGCTTAGTCTACACATGATTATTCAGCCTAGAACTTTAGATACCATATAAGTCAAGCTAATCCCCTTGTGATTATCACAGGAAGACCAAGCCAATCACCATTAACAGGAGAGATTCGATAGAGGTTACCTTCTTCACTTATCTAGACAGTAAGCATTGTTTCAACCATAGACAGTCGAAACGGATGAAGATGTCAAAGCCAGGCAGTCAGAATCGGAAAGGCAAGCAAGATACGCTTTCATCAACTTGAAAGCTGTTTGGAAATCTTCTGCACTCAGCCAGTATAAAAAGCAAGATTCGGATTTTCAACGTAAATGTGAATTCGGTCAGTTCTTCTATACGGATCAGAAACTTGACCACCGTGTCACGAAAGGATTTCCGACAGTCAAGTGCAGACTTTTATCAACAGCTGTCACCTTCACTGGCTCCATACTGAAGATAGAATGGTCAGAAAGAATTAGTTACAAGAAACTCCGGCTGGGAATAAACCAACCAAGAGCCTATCTCGCAGAAATACGTAGGAGAAAACGGAGATGGATCGATCATATATTGAGGTGGCTGTCAAATAATGACATTGCGCACTAGGCCATTGCTCGAGTGGAATCCCAATGGGAAGCGATGAATGGGTCAACCTAAAGTGACATGGAGGAGATTGTGCGAAGAGGAAATGAGAGATTATGGTCAATCGTCGACCCAGATGAAGAGGACTGAAGAAGATAGGACAAAATGGAGATGTGTTGCTGAAGCCCTATGTTGCACACGGAACTCAAGGGAATTATATATATATCCAAAGAAATACAGCATTTTCAAGTATTGGTTTTGTACGGCTTTTGTTTGAGTGGATGGAGGATTTCATCATGAGCTGACATCGGTTAGAGAACCACTGGAATAGCTGTGAGTATTGAACAGCTGTTCCGTCCTAGTTTGGGACTCTTCATCAGTACGCACCCACAACCAGGGTTCGAACCCAGGACCTTCTGGTTACAAGGCTAGCGAGCTCGTAGACCACTGAGCCACTACGATCCGATCCAATGGCCCATGAATTCAGTAGGTTGAAGATGAGGCAGTAACTCATCGAAGAAGACATTGCGAAATGGTTACGCCATGTCGTGAATTGGCAAAAGTTAGAATTCATGGGCTGGCCATTAGATCGGGTCCCTGTGGCTGAATGGTCTACGAGCTCGCCTTGTAACCAGAAGGTCCTGGGTTCGAGCCCCGGTGAGATGGGTGCGTACTACTGAAGAGTCCCAAACTAGGACTGAACAGCTGTCTAGTGCTCCCAGCTATTCCAGTGGTTTGCTAAACGATGATGAAATCCTCCATCCAATCAAATATAGTATTGTTAAAACTGATAGCCTTGTATAATATATATTACCTGTGTATGACCGAAGATCGCAGCAATATTATCCTTGACTGATATAGATGGACCATTTGAGATAACATTAATTAATTCACTAAACAGAAATAGAAAAAAGGATAGAGTCAATTAACTGTTTATCCATACCTACTCTGTATAGAAATGCAACAATATCAGTACCCCTGAGGGTGAATGATCAATAAGGTTATCTCCAAACCTGAAGGTCCTGGGTTCGAAGTCAATAAATAATGTTCAAGCGATGGTTTGCAGAGATTTGATTGCTTTCAGGACTTCATCATGAGCTGACATCGGTTACAGAACTACTGGGAAACCTGGGAATACTGGAAAGCTGTTTCCCCCTGTCCTAGTATGAGACGACGCTTCAGTGATACACACCCCCACAGCGTGGTTCGAAACTAGGCCTTTTTAGTTGCAAGAACAGCTCATAGACCATTAAACCATTGGGACCCGATTCATCAACCCATGAATACCAACTGTTACCAATTCATGAATATAACCAATGTCATTCATGCCTAGTATATATCCTCAAACCTGACCTGTTGTACCGCACTGTAACATTTCATCTCTATTTTAACTCAAACAGCTTTTATCCTTCGATTAAGAACAGCTATTGGATTTCATACAAGCTGTGATTAAGATTTGACCGGATATTTCCAAATAATTGGGCGCCGAAGTAGAGATAGATATATGTAAGAATTACATTTGTATAAATTGAAATGAATAATGCCAACGTTTCCTGAGTTCGTCAAACTCGACCGGATTCATCAAAGTTTAAATAATAGAGGTTTATACATGGAAAAGGACAGCTTAAATTTTAGAAACGTTGTCCAATCACAAGAGTCATAAAACAGGCATCAACATATCTGTCTGGATTCAACATAGAACTTGGCACCGAAGTGCAGCAGTTCGAGTTGCTACGTTCCAAACAGCACACAAAGGTAGACAAGAAAATGAGTGAACAGAGTCAATCGAGTTTTGACAAGTATAAGAGTGAAACAGAATGAGTAATGGTAGAAAGGAATATGAGACTGAACATTACAGAGACTGAATACATCTGCGTAAGCCATTGACAACGATGAGTTTGAGCCATGTCACCTATTGTCTCCAGCCTTCATTGATTCTTACAGTCCCGAGGGCGGGCCCCAACCCGGAAGTCTGCATCTCCCTACCTGACTCAATTTAACTGTCAAGGTCTTCATGGATTGATGAGGCCCTGTTTTTGTTTGGTCACCACTTACTCTTTTCCAACCGGCACCTATATCAGCTAGTAATGCCCGTCCGTCGGAGTGGGGGAGGCGATGGTTATGCATGCGCAGCACCTGACCTAGCCATCTCAATCTATGTAACTTTATAGCCTCGTCGATTGATTTTCCTTCTTTGCCCAACACTCTACGCCTAACGTCAACATTACTTACCTTATTTTGCCACCTAACGTGAGAAAGAGATTGTAAACATCTGTGATCAAAAACAGAAAATCTTTTCATGTCCTCAACTCGTATTGGACATGTTTCAAAGCTATAGAAAAGGACAGAGCGAACTGCTGAGCAGTACACACGTCCCTTGGTTGATAGCCTGATGTCACGCCTACGCCAGAGACGCTGTAAATTATCGAAAGCAGCCCGAGCTTTTTGGATCCGTGCTGAGATTTCGTCACCAATCAATCCGTTGGTGCTGATACAACTTCCCAAAAAGGTGAAGTGGTCAACATGCTCTATCACTTCACTACCTATCACTAAGCTAGGAGTTGACGTAATTCAGTCCTGTAGCAGCATCTTACATTTTACAGGGGCGAATCGCATGGCAAACATACGAAGATTGCTGCTCAACATGTATGTACAATAAACAAAAATGCATGGAGTGAGATCTAAATTTCACCTTAGACATATAATCACTGAAA